ATTCCTTCCCACAACCCTCTAACCCAGCGCTATTCCTGACATTTTGAACTGAAAAAGCTTCCTGGATGGGAAGTGAAAAGTCTTCAAAATTAGAAACAAAGTCCAGTGGATTTTTTTTTTTTTTTTTTACTTTTTTGGAATAAACCCAGAATCCCAGGTTTTTTTTTGTTATATATTAGTAAAATGATGGGACAGGCGTGTCCTCCTCTCCATTTACCGTCACTATAGATTTTTATCCTAAGGAGAAGAATCAGTCACTAAACAGAGCTTGTTGGCAAGGCTGTTGTGCTCATGAGGTCGTTTGTCGGAAAAAATTGTTTACCTCCTGCTTAAACTCAGAGTCTTAAAAACGTCTGTAGAATCCAGACAGATCTCTGCAAACCCCCAGATTTATAAGGCGAAACACGAAGCCTGAGGATCGCTTCTTCATACCTCTACCCAATGTTGTTCAATAAGCTTTCTGATTCCACTGCTGACGTTTTCAATAGTTTTAACTGACTGCTGATGCTCACTGAACAGACTGAATGAGCAGCGTGAGTCTGAAAAAACTACTGCAGTGGACTGGCTAGCATTGTTAGCTCCAGCTACACCATGCTGCTGTTCTGTCAGACCAGCATACCCATAGTCAATCGAGACATCCAATTTGCATTTATGACTTTAGGTTTGTAGGAAAAATAGATTTTAAACTAACTCAATGGCAGTCCTTTAGTAATGTACAGAAATAGAAATGAAGAACAGATCGCCATACACTTCAAAAAACACCAGAAGGTCAGTAATTCATAATAATAATCAACAATTGGATGTTTCAGTGAGTGAGTGCTTGTCGCTATGATGCGTCTTTGCTCAGCAGCTTTGCTCGTTATAAACCAACCAATCAGCGTGAAGCTCATCTAAATATTCATGATCATACCATAAAAGGAAGAAAACCTGTTGCTTCATTCTAGGGCTTTTAACCAGGCTGCATTAGAGCTCATAGAACAGCAAATATGCCATTTTCAGCCCAATGTTACACACCCTATTCAGAGACCTTAAGGACCAAATACCCAATAGAATCATTCTATCACCTCCTTAACAAACTCTTAAACCCCTCTTCCCTTTTTATTAGTTTGTTTGTGCTTGTTTTCAGTAGCGTTAAGTGCATGTTTAATTATTATATATAATTATACTGTGTGATTAGTAGCTAATAAAGATACCATTCTATGTTTTCACCCATGGTCCTTTGTGTTTAATTTACACAGTGAATGATTTATAACTCAGAATGGATTAACTCCTCTTTTAGTAGCATCCCAATGAACAGAGACACATTTATTTGGTTGGTGATTATTGGTGACAATTATTGACAGTTATTGAAATTATTGATTAATCAGAAATAATCCAATTACTTCAGCTCTTTAGTTGTTAGTTGCAGCCCTAATAAATATATAGTATGACAGAGTATTAGGGGTAGGCTAGAAATTTTTTATTTGTATTTCGAGAATAATGTCGTAATATTATGAGAATGAAGTAATAAAATTACGAGAATAAAGTCGTAAAATTACGAGAATAAAGTCACAACGAGAAGAGTCATAAAATTATGAGAATAAAGTCATAACAATATGAGAATAAGGTTGTATTATTACAAGAATTAAGATGTGATATTATCAGTATACAGTTTTATTTTATGACAACTCTTACAAGAAGCACGTTCTTCCCTAAAATGAGGAATGTTGAGCATTAAGTAGCATCAGTTTGATAAATAAGGAATCTTAATAAGAATCTTTTAGCAGCAGCATCAAATTGGGCAGGAGGTCAAAGTGGACTCAGGTCGCTGATTGGTGGGCGGAGCTCGAAGCTTTCTTTCTGAAATGGGTTGTGGTATGAGGACTTCATTCTCGTTAATTTCAACTTCATTATCCTAATGTGATGACTTTGTTATAGTACCGTATTTTCACGACCATAAGGCGCACCGGACTAAAAGGCGCACTCTCAGTTATGTGTCCCATTTCTGTATTTAACACACACATAAGGCGCACCGGACTATAGGGCGCATTTTTTATATACAGGTACATGTCCTCTACTACCTTTAAATAGCTCTACTGCGTATTTAAAAATACAGCGGGGGCAAAACTGAGTATGACTGTGCTTTATTCATGTATTTATTACAAAGTATTAATCAAACCTGGCAGCTGGCCGTGAGACAGACACATCGCAGATGACACAGCACTGTGATCACTCCTAAATTAACTTAAAATCCTGAAACCTGCCGACGGAATATGTTCGCTTTTATTACCGGTATCCTGGTGCCTGCAGCTAAAATTATTTAGATGAAAAACACCTGCCAGCAGCCGCGGTGAGGCTGCTGTTGAAGGGATTTACTGTCGGTGCACCGCTGGTATGTGGGGGTCTGAGCGCCTCCGACAGAAATAGATAATCTGGATGAACTGACTGCAATTATTACGTTTTCAGGTGGACTTTCTCACTTAAAAACATATTAAAACTACTTTATTCCCACTGATCACAGCAAATATAGCTGCAAGATTTAGATTATTTAGATGAAAAAACACCTGCCAGCCACCGCGCTGAAGAGGAGGAGACCCGGCCCAGAGGCTGCTGTTGAATTAAGTTTTCAGGTAGAAAAACAGAGCGGGAGCAAAACTGAGTATGATTGTGCTTTATTCATGTATTTATTACAAAGTATTAATCAAACCCATCAAAGTCATCATCCTCTGTTATCCTCAGCATTCCTCTGAATAAAACAGCTGCGCTAAATCAGACATGCCAGTTTCCCCTTCTTCGCTGTCAGTCACTTTCCGTGCAGCGCAGCTCCTCAGAAATAATGCCGGCTTTTGCGAAAGCTTGAACAACAGAGCCAGCAGAAACGTTAGTCCAAGCATCTACAATCCATCCGCAAACGGTGGCGTAACTTGCCCGGCGCTGCCTTCCACTTATCCTGAAACTGTGGTCTCCGTCTGTCATCCATCGCTCCCACGCCGCTCGCAGCCTTACTGTGAACGGCCGCTTCACACCGATGTCGAGCGGTGGAAGTTCCTTTGTCAGACCCCCGGGATAACGGCGAGCACAGCGTTCATTTGATTCACCTTTTTTTCACATCGGCTGTGAGATGGGCACGCAGCGATGGTGATGCGTGGAAAAAACCACCTAGTCTTCTCACATACACCTGTCTCAGCCACGCATCCACCCAGCCTTTTCATTTGCGTTAATATCATATGTCATCAGAGCGCTGTCTGTCTCGCTGTCAGATCCCAGATCAGCTTCTCTGATTGGTTGATGCGGCGCGTCCAGCAGCGAAACTTCAATTTTTCCATCTGAGCAGCAGCAGCGCGTTGGCGGTGCGTCAGATGCTTAAACGCTCCCGACGTGCTGCACCAAAACGCGCTGCGGGACCTTTTGCTGCACCTATACGCGCGTCGACCATTGACTTTGCATGTAAACTCGCTGCTTCTGCTGCACCTGCTGGGTCCGGTTCACACCGATGTCGAGCGGTTGAACAGCGAGCACAGCGTTAATTTGTTTCCCCATGTTTTTCACATCAGCTGTGAGATGGGTACGCATGGAGTTACAGATTAATGGTGATGAGTGGGAAAAAAACACCTGGTCTCCTTACATTCAGCCACTCTTTCATCATCTCCTCAATGAGGTGGTCTCAAAAGTCGCAGTTACAACCCACATAGGGCGCACCGCACCATAGGGCGGACCGCACATTTTTAGGAAAAAAAAAGACGTTTAAGTGCGCCTTATAGTCGTGAAAATACGGTAATTTTATGACTTTGTCATCGTAATGTTATAACTTTGTTCTCATAATATTACAACTTTATTCTTGTAATATTACGACTTTATGGTAAAATGGTAAATGGCCTGTACTTGTAAAGCGCCTTTATTCAAGTTAGGAGACTAGACCAAAGCGCTTTACACTACATTCACCCATTCACACACACACACCCACACACTGATGGTAGCAAGCTACATTGTAGCCACAGCTGCCCTGGGGCTCACTGACAGAAGCGGGGCTGCCGTACACTGGCGCCACCGGGCCCTCTGACCACCATCAGTAGACAATGCAGGTGAAGTGTCCTGCCCAAGGACACAACGACACTGAAAGTCGGAGTCGGGGCTTGAACCGTCAATCCTTCGATTTCAGGGCAAACTCCTACATCCAACGCCACTGACTTTATTCTCGTAATATTACGACTTTATTCTCGTACTGTTACGACTTTATTCTCGTACTGTTAAAACTTTATTCTTGTACTGTTACCACTTTATTATCGCAATGTTACAACACTATGCTTGTAATATTACGACTTTATTCTCGTAATGTTACAACTTTATTCTTGTACTGTTACGACTTAATTATCGCAATGTTACAACACTATGCTTGTAATGTTACGACTTTATTCTTGTACTGTTACGACTTTATTATCGCAATGTTACAACACTATGCTTGTAATGTTACGACTTTATTCTTGTACTGTTACGACTTTATTATCGCAATGTTACAACACTATGCTTGTAATGTTACGACTTTATTCTTGTACTGTTACGACTTTATTATCGTAATGTTACAACACTATGCTTGTAATGTTACGACTTTATTCTCGTAATGTTACGACTTTATTCTCGTAATGTTACGACTTTATTCTTGTAATGTTACCACTTCATTATCGTAATGTTACAACGCTATGCTTGTAATGTTACGACTTCATTATCGTAATGTTACAACGCTACGCTTGTAATGTTATGGCTTTATTCTCGTAATGTTATCACTTTATCGTAATTTTATGACTTTGTCGTCGTAATGTTATGACTTTATTCTCGTAATATTACAATTTTATTCTTGTAATGTTATGACTTTATTCTTGTATTGTTATGACTTTATTCTCATAATATTACGAATTTATTCTTGAAATAAAAATAACAAAAATCCTCTAGCATGGCCCTAATACTCTGTTGTAAATGAGGTATTAAATATTTCATTTTGGCTAGAAATTGTTGGTGCCTGTTACCTGCAGCGGTGTTGGCTGATGGTCCACTGCTGCCACAAGGACCACCAGTCTGTTGTCGATGCTCAGGTAGCCAAAGACGTCACACTGTGGCACAGAGACGTGAAGACGCAGGATCTGCAGGATGTCGTAGACCGTCACGGGCTGGTTCTTATTCAGCTGCACAGAAGCACAATGGTTAGAAAGGGGTCCATTGGGTTTTTGAAAAAGCATTGGGTGTTTATTTATTTATGAAGAAAGCTGACAGGGCCTAACCAGAAAAGAATTTTAATTTTGCCTTAAATGCTGTCATTTGAAATATTCATGCGAAAACTAGGTCCAAATTTACCTCATGAATGAACTTTCATTAATGCAGCCAACTATTTATACAAAGACATCAAAACCAGGAAACAGGCTTCATATTAAAATGATGGTGTTATGAAGTGATCTCATATAAATAAGGAATAGATATTGCTCCTAATTTTTGACTGCTAAACTTTAAAAACGACAACTCATAGGTTTGGGATCTAGCCACAGTTTGTTTAAATGAATGAATAAATAAGGTTTAAGGGTTTAAGAGGTTCAAGGGATCAGGAACATATATATGACTCAGTTTGTGTGATTAAAAAATAAAAACTGAAAGAAAAGGAAACGGATGAACCATAGAACTGAACAGGGATTCCCTTCATACCTTTGAGAAAGTGTTCATCAGCTTCTGGCTCCAGAGGATCTGCAGTATACTGGCGCATATGGGGCAACAGGCTCCTGTAAATAAAGTTGGACATCAGGGGTCCTGCTCCTGTCGGCTGGTCTGTTATTACTAAAAAGTGATTCTCTGCTCACCAGGAGGAGTGATGGGGCGGCAGCCCTGAACAGATATCGGCGGGCAGGTCACCTCGATGCACACCCTATCTAGAATCATGCCAGACAGGGCCCCTACAGCACGACAGGGGCCCTCATAGTCCTCAGCCACACGGTCAGAGAATGCCTCACACACGGTGCTGTAGGTCTCACCGTTGTGACCGCAAACCTTTTTAGTTTTCCGGCAGGCATCCTGGGGACAGAGATTTTGTTAGCTTCTCTAAACTCTGACTGATTGCTTCCAGATAAGTGAAGTCTCTATTTACCAGAATAAATATTATATTATCTGTTTCTTTAAAATTAAAGAGTTTAACGTTTAAAATGTGTAATTAAAATATATATACCATGAATCTTATACTTTTTTGGTAAATAAAGGGCATGAAGTTACTAAAGAGTAGCTGTGCAACAGCATCTGCCTGAATTTAAAAACCATGAACTTAACACACAAACAGACAGAAAGAAATCTGTCGCATGGATATTTGGTAATAGGCAAGGCACATTTATTCATTGAGGGTAATATAACCTGACAGCAAAATATGTTTGCTTTTATTATTCTGGTGCCTGCAGTTTGGATTGCATACATGAAAACCGCTAAAATCTCCTTCCAGCCACAACGAACAGTAGCGAACAGTAACAAACGGGTGTTGAAGGGGATTCCCAGTGACAACGCTCCGCTGGTATGTGGGGGTCTGAGTGGCTCAGACAGCGACATAATATTTAAAGGCAGGACAAGGCAATACAAGGCATTGTCTATATAAAGACTCAAACTCACTGCGAATCCAGACATTTGAATTGAGAAAGCTTTCTGGAGAGGTAGTGAAACGTCTTAAAATCTTAGAAACCAAGTCCAGTGGATTTTTTTGAATTTCTTTTTACAGAATTAAAGGCGGGATGGTAATCTGGATGGACTGACTCTACCAACCATATTTTCAGGTAGACTTTCTCCAATAAAAATATATTCAAACAATTTTTTAACCACTGATCACAGCAAATATTGCAAAGCCACTCTGCAAATGAACACAGGAGCAGCCGAAGCATCAGACGCATCTTTACTCACTTTACTGGAAGCGCTTCAGGAGCATCAAAGATGCTCTAGAGGCGCGTCTGATGTGGACAAGCATCACAAATGAAGCAGCAGAAGCTTTTTTGCTGCTGCTATCGCTTGTGGTCTGAACGTAGCATTAGAGTTCAGACAGAAAGTAAAAACGGATGTAAAATTGTTAACACAGCACTGTTACTCTGTTCTATACGTAATGAGGTCATTTGTCAATGAATTATAACAAAAGATCAAATCATGATCTATATCTTGACAGCTGCCAGTGTAATTGGGAATGCTGAAGACTGTAATACATAAAAACCCATCCTAGGGGAGGTCAAAGTTCTTTGTAGTCTTATGGGGGCGGGGGGGGGGGAATTAACAATCGGGCAATACTAGGAAGTTGCCTAGGGCCCCAAGGACCTTAAATCTTTATTTACATGTATGGTTTATACAACTATTCCTTATTTGTGCAAATTAATTATGTTTTTGATAAAACTCCTTTTGCTAAAATACCATCAGAACTCTGATAATATTAAGTGTGTCTCAGCCCCCCCCCTTCAGTGTCCACCATATTGGATCAGTCCATTTGCTGCACATGTTCAGAAAGGTCCAAACAGACAGCAGCAAACCATTTGAAAACAAACCATGCAAAGAGCAGTGTTGCCAACTTAGCGCTTTAGTTGCTATATTTAGCGACTTTTCAGACCCCTCTAGCACTTTGATTTTAATAAAGCGCCTAGCGCCAAATCTAGAGATGTTTTTCTGCTACTGGAGACTTTAGTGACAGCATCTAAAAGCAGCGAGCTCTGCTCTCCAGAGCCAGTAGATTGGTAACCCCGCCTCCTGCTCTCCTCTATCTTGTCTGCTGTCATGATTCATGCAGCTATTATTTCATCCAAATGAAAAATGGAGAACAGAGAAGCAGATCATGGCTTGTCTACAGTGAAAAGAAGGACTGGGTTATTTACTTTGGCCTTTTTGGAAACACAGGAAGGAGCAATCAGCTAAGTGAGCTTAGTGCTTGGAAAAAATCTTTCATTCCTTTAGAGACAGCATGAAAAGTCAGCTGAGTACAAAACATAGAGAGGAAAACAAGAAGAAAAGGTACAAGAAGACACAACAGATAATGGATGTCTATTCTATTAACATTTTTCTATCTGTAGAATGGGTCTGTTTAATGTGTTGTCTTCTCAATTCAGAGGGCCCCATGCCTGTCTTTGCCTAGGGCCACAAATTTCCTAAATCTGCCCCTGACGGGGGTTATATTTAATTGCAGTGAAATGCTGTAAATGTTTAAGCGTTTTCCTTTAAACGCCCAGCAGGGCTTGATCCTCTTTCCAGCGCTTATTTGTGAGTCTCGCTCAGCTTTCTTGTGTTCTATACCTGGCAGTGTCCCATGTAGGCCAGCTTCTTCCCAGCCTGCTGCAGATGGCATAGACTGCGGTGCACCAGGCCGTCTGTGTCACAGGCCGGCTCCATGCTGCTTCTGTCACAGACCGCCGGTCGGCCTACGCACTCGTACTGCAGACAATCTGAGGTGTTGCTCAGACAAACGCGACGTCTTGGGACACACCTAACACAAACACATCAACACACCATCTTTATCTAATGTAATGACATCACAAAAGGGTTCTAGGGTTTATATCTAAGATGAATGTTCAGTTTTATCAAGCAGCGAAATGAATTACTTTATTTTTGGTATTCGCCCGTTACCTTAATGTATCTATTAGCATTGTTTGTTTTTTTCACATAGTCAAGATAATCCATGATAATCAGCAATTTTCAGCTGTGATGAAACAATGTTCATAATTATAAGGAAAATGTTATGCAACTGCAAACAAATTCTATTTGAAATGTACTCTATAGTAATGCTGTTATAGGCTTAGACTGCTGGAGGACATAAGGACCCCTTTTTCATCATTCTACTTCACTCTCTCTCTATTCTCCCACTCTGCAGAATCTCTAACGTTCTGCTCTCTCTGCTTTTTCTCATAGTAGCTTCATCTGGTCTGTTCCTGTTTGGCTGTGACTCCATCCATTTGCATCATTAGATAGAAGAAAAGCTGTATGTCAAATATATGTTTACAATCTCAGTTGCTAGGCTTTCCAAAATACAGTGGGGCCAAAAAGTATTTAATCAGGCATTGATTGTGCAAGTTCTCCTACTTAGAATAATGAGAGAGGTCTGTAATTTTCATCATAGGTACTCTTCTCAAGCCAGTACATGTCCAGACCCGCCTGAAGTTTGGCAGAGAGCAGATGGATGATCCAGAAGAGGATTGGGAGGATATCATGTGTTCAGATGAAACCAAAATAGAACTTTTTGGTGAAAATCCAACTTGTTGCGTTTGGAGGAAGAGGAATGCAGAGTTGCATCACAGAACACCATAGCTACTGTGAAGCATGGGGAAGGAAACATCGTGCTTTGGGGCTGTTTTACTGCAAAGAGGACAGGAAAACTGATCTGTGCTGTGGGAAGAATAAAGCAGGCCATGTATCGTGAGATTTTAAGCCAAAACCTCCTTCCGTCAGTGAAAGCCTTGAAAAGGAAACTTGGCTGGATCTTCCAACAATGATCCCAAACACACTGGTCCTGGAGTGGCCCAGCCCGTCTCTAGACCTGAGCCCCATAGAAAATTTGGTGGAGGGAGTTGAAAGTCTGTAATGCCCAGAGACAGCCCCCGAAACATCCCTGCTCTAGAGGAGATATGCATGGAGGAATGGGCCAAAATACCAGCTACAGTGTGTGAAACCTGGTGAAGACGCACAGGACACGTTTGACCTCTGTCATTGTCAACAAAAGTTATGTTACAAAGTTTTAAGCTGAACCCTATTTATTGACCAAATACTTATTTTCCACCGTAATTTACAAATAATTTCTTTAAAAATGTTATTTCCTGGATTTTTTCCCCTCATTTCATCTCTCATAGTTAAAGTGTACCTATGATGAAAATGACCAACCTCTCTGATTATTTTAAGTAGGAGAACTTGCACAATCAGTGGCTGACTGAATACTTTTTGGCCCCACTCCACTGTTGGGGGGAGCTTTAATGCTCCCCCCAAAATAAAAGGTTTATGTCTAAAGATTGAACTAACCTGACAGAAAGGTTAGAAAATTCGCATCATGTTACTTTGTTGTTCTAATTTAAATAGGGTTGCTGCTAATGATTATTTTGTAAATCAATTAATCTGTCAATTATTTTGTTGATTAATTGATTAATAATTGGATACTCAAAGGTTGGCCAAAGAAGATTTCATACAGAATTAAACCAGGTGAAACAAAAACTTGTTCACAGTTCTGAATAGAGCATTGATCGATGAAAAAGTTTTTTAATATCAAAAGCATAATGTTTATATTTTTTACAATCTGTGTATAATTCCTGCTCTTAGTCTGTCAACTAAAGGCATGTTTTACAGTCTCTATACTCTATACTCCAGTTGACAATTAATCGATAACTAAATTAATTGATGGTTATTTCAATAATTTATTTATCTGCTGAATTAATACATTATTAATGATTGATTAATTAATTAATTAATGATCCTTAAGTGGAATTGGGGGGGGGGGGTGTGGAATAAACATATCCAAGATTAGCTGAAGGTATGGTGTTGTTAACACATCCGTTAAAGTACATCTGATTGCCTGTTAAAATAAAATTCAAACTGGCCCTATAGCTTCTATGGCAAAACACGAGGTTTTGTAAATGAAACTGGATCCCAGGACCAAAACCACCTGAACAAACTAGCCGTCAGGTCAAAGGATGGGTATGTGAATATGGATGAGTTTTCCCTCTATAAACAGTTACTAAACCCACCTCTGGTTTCTCGGGCAGCTGATGCCAGTGCAGGGGTTACTGGAATGGCAGTGGCCAAAGACAAACTGTTGATCTTTGAATCCCATACAGCGAGCCACACATCCACTTGGATAGGTACGCCCGTTAACGGCACAAACTGGGATAAAGCTATACGGACAGTTACAGGGATGATCTGAAGGAGAAACAAAGGGAGGGGGTAAATACATCAAATAGGAATAACGTTAATAAAATTTAAAAACCTTTGATTAGAGTTAACCTTGACTAATAGCATCAAACCCAAGTTAAAAAACAAAAAAGCTCATGAAGACGAACCAGTAGAAGCCCAAGAGTCTTTCTTTGTGGGACATTTTCTCGTCGAGCAGATGGTTTCTCCAGCGAAGCAGGAGCATGTGTTGCAGTCGGTCGTGAAAGATGAGCCGTGGTCTGATGGTGAAACACAGCAAAAGAACACAGGGACATTTTTTTTTAAAGTATCTCAACCTTCATTTCTGTCGCTCTGTGTTGCTACTAACTCCAGCTGCCTCATTCTCACTATCCAATCCATACCGGAAGCAAGATCCGTACCATTAGCTCATTTGCGCATGTGTAACTGGATATTTATCCAGGTTGTCATTAAATAATGTAATTATAGGGGCTGACCTGTTTTCGGTTCTAAGCCATAACAAGGTTTTTATTGGGCTACTCTATAAAGCATGGAACTCAACACTACTCCAGACATTTTGAATTGAGCAAGCTTTCTGGATGGTAAGCGAAACATCCAAACAAGTCCAGTTGTTTGTTTTGACCTTTTTTGGAATAACGCAGATGACTTTGTATCCTGACAGAGGAACTGTCCTAACTAGATAAACTTGGGAAAACATTTGTTTCACAGATTCACAAATACTTACACCACCTCATAATGCTCATGCTAAGTTCAGACCGCATGCGACAGAGGCAGAGAAAGCAGCAGGTTTACATGTCAATGGCTGATGCGCATCAGGGTGCATCAGAAGGTCTCGGAGTTCGCCTAGTGCAGCAGGCGCAATGCATTTAGATGCATTAAAGCAGCTGAAGCAGCAACTCATGAGCATTGAGGCGTGCAGCACGCTTCAGAAGCAGGAGCTGCTGGAGTTGGAAAAATTGAACTTTTGCTGCTGGATGTGCCTCATCAACCAATCAGAGAAGCTGATCTGGGAGCTGGCAGGGAGACCGACAGTGCTGCTGATGCAGAGCGCTATGATCACTCCTCTGAAACAGTTTATTTACACCTAAATTACCTTAAAATGTGAAAACCTGCAGGCAAAATATGTTTGCTTTTATTATATGAAAACTGGGCTGTGTTCGGTTGGTCAGATTTTGTCCCACTTTAGTCCAATAACAGACTGAAAACCTGGCTTTTTACCTTTCACTTTTCAACCAAATAATAACAATTAATGGCTGAATTTTATTGATCTCACTTTGGAGAAACTTTCCTCCGCATTTAACCCATGGCGTTGGTGAGCAGTGGGCTGTTATCGTGGGGCCCCTGGGAGCAGTGTGGAGCACTCTGTGGGAGTGAACTCAGAACCTCAGGATTCCAAGCACTATGCCCTAACCACCAGGCTGCCACTACCCCTTAAGAAGTCATTTGAATGTAAATCATGTCATCTTTTCAACCAGTTTTTGCTAGGTGGGACGTCATTCTATCTATTGCATACTATCATCATCACAGTCTGCTCTTGTTTAGATATGGTAAAAGAACTAAAAAAACACCATTTGTCAATACAGGAGACAGTCACATTGTTCCTCCTTAGCGGTATTGGGAACAGCTCACTGACGCGTGTCTACCCAGGTTAAGTGACTCAGCAAACAACCTACTTTAAAACTGCCTCGGCTCTGATCAGCATGCTGTGGCAACACAGGAGCTGAGTCGACCTGCTACTTTAGGTGATAGCATTGAAAGCAACGTACGGAAGTCAACACATCACGCCAGTCGCTTCTGCTCTAACAAGCAGAAACAACTTTGTTTACATTCAATAAACATGGAGCAGCTCTGGTGAGAGCGATTCAGACAGATAATAGAGCGAAACAATAAAGCACACTGACTATGCCCTGGGTTCCTTCCATGTTGCTTTCCATTGTTTACTTTCCTGAATTTCTGTCGCGCTTTTGAACTCATCAATGCTAACCCAGCGTGATGGTGAAACCAGACACGCAGCGACGTGGGGTCAGAGGCCACGCAGCTGCTAATGAGGGGTTAGACTCAGCATTTTTTGCCGGTGGGAAAGGAGCAAAACACCCATGTTTGAAAAATATGCATTAACCCACTGTTTACAGTAGGATAGAGGCTTTACAGCTTGCCGCTAGTTCAAATGTATATTTTAAGACCGTATCTTTTCCCAATCTGGACCCAATCTGATTTGAAACATTTAGAAATTACAGCATGTTCCCGGACGACAGTGTCTAATTTCACTGTTTCTGGTAAAGACCTCTGGAGCGTCCGGCACCAGGCTGCACGTGATCCAAATTAGCCAATGAGCTGTCAGTCTGGGTTGCTGCTGCTGCTACTTTTAGACCCAGCAGGCAAACCTGTGGCAAGACGGGCGATGGGAAAGAAGGAGAAGATGATGAGAAAAAGAGAGCAGAGAAAGTGTGGACTGCTGGAAGAACTGCGGTGAACTGGTGAAAGAAAAGTGAAATGGCGTGATCAAAGATGACCCTGAACATTTAGAGGATGTTTGGCTCAACCTGCTGCTGTGAAGCAGGATTCTCCACCATGAACAGAATCAAAAATAAATATGGATCCAGGCTCTAAATGAGCTCCTTGATACGAGGCTTTTTCTCCATTCAAACCCAGGTTTAAAGCCTTGCAGGGCAGCCTAAAGCCCACTGCCAACATTAAGACAGAAAAAAGAAAGAATCAACAATCGTCCAAACTGAACGATTGTTGTTCTCTACTTCAAAAAACACTTCAGAGTTTAAAATGGAAAAATGTTAATTTTTTTTATTTAAAAAGTAAATGTATAACATTAATGCATAAAAACCTGATTTTCTATGTTAAATTCTGTTTAAAGTAACAGATTATAATAAAACATGTATCTGGACCTTTACTGGTTGTTGATTTTCTTTATTAGGACCCCGCTGGTTTTATATTGGTTACCCCTGGTCTAGTGTGTATATTAGAAAAAACAAAATGTTTCTCTTTCTAAAAAAAGTTGTTTAAAGAATATTGAGCTTTTTCATGGAACAACAACCAAAACATACAAACCTTGGAAATATGCATCTGTCAGCTCAGTGGTGGGAGAGAAGCCCGAGCTGTTGTGTTTTGAAACAGCTGGACTTCCCCTTTAAGTTTGGGCTCTGCAGCCAACTTTCTAGATGGAGGGGCTGGACTCTCTCTTTGTTTTTGAGCTCCCAGGAGAGAGAAAACAGCAAATGTTGGGGATATTTAGTTTTCTCTGTTCTCATCTTTATGCCCAACTGACAGCTCCACAAGAATTTCTCTGTCATGTTGAGGAGTTCGCTGGAGTCATGGAGTCTGAATGGGCCATATTAAGGACCTCCACTGCTAAGTTTGAACTTGCATACAATAAATAAATGGATAAAGATGTCCCTTACCCTTCCGTTGCCCCTCTACAATGCAGCCCTTGTCCATTTCCACACAGGGGATAGACATGCAGTTCTCCAAACGCCCGCTTGGGCCACAGCTGCACATCTCATGGCAGCCAGCAGCACCATCGTGGGTCGGGACTTGAATTAGAGCATCCTGCTGCACCAGAAACTCAGAAGCCTCCCCCATTTTACAACCTGGAGACAGACTAAAACATCAGACACTAGGTGGAACGCATTAGCTGGCAAACTGAGAGTAGGAGTCCATCCTACCTGGAACACAGATGTATGGCTGACAGCTGGTGTCCTCCAAACATCCCTTTCTGTTGACCTGGCATAAGTGGTTGCTTGGACATGGATTAGGGTTGCATGGATGGATGATCTCTTCAACGATGCTGTTTCCTAGTGAACTGGGTGCTAGAGGGACAGAAACCTCAGTCAGTCAATGAAAATAAGGGAACGAACACAGGTGGAAAATGTAACGCATCTGGTGTGATTCACAAATAATTTCTTAGCTGTGACAAAAAGTAGGTATTAGATAGAGTCCGAATATTAGGGCTACGCTAGATTTTTTTAAAATATGACAATAAAGTCACTACATTACGAGGATAAAGTCTTACTATTTTGATAATAAAGTCGCAACATTGGGAGAATAAAGTCATAATATTACAAGAAAAGACACGTGTGGTTCTTCTCACACCAGTCCACAATGTTCATGATGACCGATTCATTGAGATTGAGAGTATTCTAGCCTAACTTCAGCTTTTAGTTTGAAAGTATTCTAAGCTAACCTTTGCTGTTAGATCGAAGGTATTCTAGGCTAACTTTAGCCATTAGTTGGAAGGTATTCTGGGCTCATTTTAGCCATTAGTTAGTCCATTAGCTCTGAATAAAAGATGCCATAGTGAGTCACAGAAAGCAGAAGTTTCCTCTGATATAGCAACTCTGAATTTGAACTTATCTGTGAAAGTAACAATTCCGTTAATGATAGGAATTCCATTCAGTTTGTTCACAAAAATATTTCATTTAATTGAACAACACCGTCATGATCGAACCCAATACTACTATCAAGCCACTCCTTAACCAGTGTTATCTAATATTTCTTTCCTGGGCTAAGAAGAAAAGGAACATGACAGTTAAACAGATGTCCAAAACCCTGTTTCTAGATGTGGGCAAATCTTGAATTTAATTTGGAAATGAAACTCCCAGAGTTCAGAGTCCATGTTGCTTGAAGTGTAGTGAGTGTCTTCCAGTATCAGTGATGGTTTGGGGGTATCATGTTATCTCCTGCTGTTGGTCTAGTCAGTTTTAGATGCTGCCATCTGTACCAGGGAATTATGGAGCATTTCCTGCTTTCTACTGCTGACAGGCTCAGATGCTGAATTTATTTTCCACCAGGACTTGGCACATGCCCACCCTGGCAAATTCAGCAAGAGATGGTTCAATTACCATGATGTTCATGTTCATGATTGGCCAACAAACTCACTAGACCTGAAACTTGAAGATTAGAGGAAGATTAGATACCCAGCAATATGACATATGACATGTGACATGAGCGCAGGTCCACAGGCTGATCACCTTTATGCCTTGGTGCATCAATGCAGTAATTCATGCAAAATATTTAGTAGAAGCAAAATACGGGCCCCTAGAGGCCAAAAGTTACACAGTGTGCCTTTAAATATTTGAATTATGCATCACATAAATAAATACAACATAAATATATAAATAATACATGTTCTTATTTGACAGAAGATTTACATGAATGTGTAAGAATACACATCATGGCCCTTCTCACAGCAGCCCCCCTCCCCCTAGTTGGTGTCAAAACCCACATTCAGAGAACCCCTGCCTTAGAAGAAACAAATAGAAGCACCATCAGAAAAACCCCTCAGAAGTACTATCAAGTATGTAGAACACAGGAATGTAGTATGAAGTTTAGCTAGTGCCACTCAAGTGTACAAGAGGGCCAGGTGGTTTGTTTATTGTCAGCAGGGGTGTTAGTTTGTGAAGGTGGGAAGTATGACTGGAGGGAAGGGGCTGGATGTGGTCGGCTGCTGGGGGGATGGGATGTGAGTCTCCGACTGGAGGGGGGGTTGCTTTCACACATCTGAAGAGGAGCATTTCCTGTATGTTTATTCAGACTGAAGTAGGAAAAACAGTGCCAGGGGTGGAGGTGGATTCTAAGGCAATGCATCTTGCCTTCTTCTGGACTTCTCCAGCATAAACTAACTTAACACCTGATAGAATGCAACCCACAGTGCCCTGTGGATGCTTTCACAGGACGCTTTCAAACGTGGTCCCAGTAGAAGCTTGCAAGCAGCTGAGATGGGAGTCCAGTAGCTTTCAGCGTCCTGAGAAAGAAGAGCAATTGTTGGGCCTTCTTCACTCTGTGGGAGGGACTCTAAGCCCAGGAGAGGTCACAGGAGACCCCAGTGTCTGGGATCTTTATGCTCTCTTCAGTGCTTCCCATAGAATGGGGCTTGTTCATTCATCTTGCCCCACATGTTATCCATTTGGTCTCGCTGATGTTCAGGATAAGGTGAAACTTTTAACAGCACTGTGTCAGATTTCTGACCTCTTCTCATTTTTGACACGAGACCCACCTCAGTTGTGTCATCCACTCTGAAGCCATGTTTTTTGTGTGGAAAGCAGAACTCAAGAATAAAACCCCCCGAACACACTAAAACTGACTTTCTGACAAGGTAGTGGCCTTAACCCAGCTTTTAAGTCTGGTTATAGAGATGCACTAAGAACCGCCAACTTGAACAGTGCCATCAGATCAGCGAAGCAGAACCACAGCCAGAAGATCCAGGATCTTTTCCACAACGCCAGCAACACCAGGAGGATGTGGTAAGGCACACGGGTGATCACAGACTACAACACACCCTCTCCCCCGGTGGGTGCAGCGGATGCTGACTTCCTGAATGAACTAAACAACTTCTTAGGAAGGTTTGATGACATGAGTGCAGGTCCACAGGCTGAGCACTTTATGCCTTGGTGCACTGATGCAGTAATTCATGCAAAATCAGCCCTAACAGAGTACTGCATGGAGATAACTGGACGCTCTAATGTTATATTCAGAATTCCTGAGATACAATATCTGTGTGGTATAAACCTATGAAAGGAGACCTCAGCAGAAGACCCCTCACGCTGAGCTTAATTCCTGTTTAAAGTTTTTTCTTTTTACTTTTTAACTGTCTTTTCAAGCATGGATCAATATAAGCAACTGTTCACTGACTGTACTTGGTCATCCAAGAGAAACATATCCTACAAAGTCAATGGTTGATGCAACCAGTTTTCCTCAGATAGCAAAAGTTTAACAAATCTGACTGGAGGATTTGATTGAATTAGATGACATATCGTGAACTGGTGCTATATAAATAAGTAGAATTAAACTGAAGTCTGAAAAACAGTCAGTGGATCCAAGCTTTTAAAAAGAAGCATTTCTTATGTTACTCTTAAGGTTGTGAAAAAAAGGTTGTACTGTTTCAGAAGGTGTGAAAGATGTGAAAATTAGGTGTAGATATCTTGTTAAAAAAGTAAAAACACCTTTAAAATAATTGAAGAATCATTACTACTCTGATCCAAATGTTAATATTTTGATGAATGACTTGTTCAAAACTCGAAATGAAATGCTTGCGATACGCTCAGACTGAACCCGATTTTAGCAGCAAAATAGTTCCTGCTGCTTCATTTCTATTGCTTGCATTCTTCAACTTTTGACTGCAAAAATTATAAAACAAGTAAATTTGTCTTTAAATATGTGTATTTGCCCTTCATTTGAACAGGTGACAAAAAATGTCCCCTTAAAGAGAGAGTACCTTTAGTAAGAAAAGACAATTATATAAAGTGTCTTTGAAACGGGACTCTGGAGATGTTTTCCTTATCTCATTTTAACTGGATAAATCCTATTCCATTTTCCTTTCCTACTTAAATGAAGAGCAAGTTCACTAATTTAAAAAAGAAACACTGAAAAAAATTCTTATCCACTCTTTCTCTCTTACCACCCTTTTCCTGTTTGTTGCTTACGATTTTACTCCCCAAATAATGTTCAATAAAGTTTAACACACAAGAATTAAGCAGAACCTTATGGCATCAGTCATAATGGTCTACTTGTGAGTGCAAAGCTTTTGGACTGCCGGCTTTGGGACATCAATTCCCAGAGCTGCAGTACAGGTGCTGGTCATAAAATTAGAATATCATGAAAAAGTAGATTGATTTCAGTAATTCCATTTAAAAAGTGAAACTTGTATATTATATTCATACATTACATACAAACTCATATATTTCAGATGTTTATTTTGTTTAATTTTGATGATTACAAATGACAACAAATGAAAATCTCAAATTCATCATATCAGAAAATTAGAATATTGTGAAAAGGTTCAAAATTGATGGCCCCTGGTGCCACACTCTAATCAGCTAATTAACTCAAACCACCTGCAAAAGCCTTTAAATGGTCTTTCAGTCTAGTTCTATAGGCTACACAATCATGGGGAAGACTGCTGACTTGACAGTTGTCCAAAAGACGACCATCGACACCTTGCACAAGGAGGGCAAGACACAAAAGGTCATCGCTAAAGAGGCTGGCTGTTCACAGAGCTCAGTGTCCAAGCACATTAATAGAGAGGCGAAGGGAAGGAAAAGATGTGGTCGAAAAAAGTGTACAAGCAAGAGAGATAACCGCACCCTGGAGAGGATTGTGAAACAAAACCCCTTCAAAAATGTGGGGGAGATTCACAAAGAGTGGACTGCAGCTGGAGTGAGTGCTTCAAGAACCACCACACACAGACGTATGAAAGACATGGGTTTCTGCTGTCGCATTCCTTGTGTCAAGCCACTCTTGAACCACAGACAGCGTCAGAAGCGTCTTGCCTGGGCTAAAGAGAAACAGGACTGGACTGCTGGTGAGTGGTCCAAAGTCATGTTCTCTGATGAAAGTAAATTTTGCATTTCCTTTGGAAATCAAGGTCCCAGAGTCTGGAGGAAAAGAAGAGAGGCACTTCATCCACGTTGCTTGAAGTCCAGTGTAAAGTTTCCACAGTCAGTGATGGTTTGGGGTGCCATGTCATCTGCTGGTGTTGGTCCATTGTGTTTTCTGAGGTCCAGGGTCAACGCAGCCACATACCAGGAAGTTTTAGAGCACTTCATGCTTCCTGCAGCTGACCAACTTTTTGGAGATGCAGATTTCATTTTCCAACAGGACTTGGCACCTGCACACAGTGCCAAAGCTACCAGTACCTGGTTGAAGGACCATGGTATCCCTGTTCTTAATTGGCCAGCAAACTCTCCTGACCTTAACCCCATAGAAAATCTATGGGGTATTGTGAAGAAGAAGATGCAATACACCAGACCCAACAATTCAGAAGAGCTAAAAGCCACTATTAGAGCAACCTGGGCTATCATAACACCTGAGCAGTGCCACAGACTGATCGACTCCATGCCACGCCGCATTGCTGCAGTAATACAGGCCAAAGGAGGCCCAACTAAATACTGAGTGCTGTACATGCTCATACTTTTCATGTTCATACTTTTCAGTTGGCCAACATTTCTATAAATCCTTTGTTTTTATTGGTCTTCAGTAATATTCTAATTTTCTGATATGATGAATTTGAGATTTTCATTTGTTGTCATTTGTAATCATCAAAATTAAACAAAATAAACATCTGAAATATATGAGTTTGTATGTAATGTATGAATATAATATACAAGTTTCACTTTTTAAATGGAATTACTGAAATCAATCTACTTTTTCATGATATTCTAATTTTATGACCAGCACCTGTATATCGGCTAAACAGGACACAGAAAAAAGAAAGAAATAATCAGTTAAAATAAGTTTTGCAGGATTTGACTGAAGGATTTATTTCTTTAACTTGATTTATGACTTGACTTGAGACTTTGGGAATAAGTGGCTTTCAAAAAAACATGATCTGACCCCTTGGAAGTAGCAATAAAGGTGCTGCTGGGCGAATAAAATAAATCTAATTAGATCACATTGAAATGTGACCACATGAGGGGAAAAACAAGACTTTTTACCAGTGTTCTGATGTGGAGAGTTTGCAGCGGTGGTGTGGGGGTTGAGTGCACAACCTATGAGCCCTGGCCTCAGTGACCCCGTACCGCATGTCCAACCCCCTCTCTCTACTTCCATTTCCTGTCTGCCTACTAAAAGAAGGGCCATTTCAATGAGACTGTGCCCATTTCTGCCCAGTCTTCCTCCTCTTAAAGGGGGAGGGGGTGTTATATGTTGCAGCAGAAAGACTTAGGTGGCTTGCAGTATTTGATTTAACATCTAACTCAAAAAAGATCTTGTAAAATGCTGATGCTTGGCCTAAAACAGACATTACCTGTAAAATGAGTCAAGGACATTGAAATTTCCCTGGCTGTATTGAAATTTATGAAAAGAGATCCCTTTAGACAGAAGTGGCAGCTGACAGAGTCACACTTCCACACCAGAGACAGAAATACAAAATAGCTCGAGCTGAAACAATTATTTTGCAAATCGATTAATTTGTCGAAATTCTTTCTCGATGAACAGATTAAAGTCGTAGCGAAGCATCAGTTCCAATCGTTACATTTCCGAATTCTCCCGAGTGGTGCCCGACTTTACGCGAGCAAATAAAGTGAATGTGATTGGTCGTTTATCAAGGAGGTGTGGGGTTTTGTGGCGAAACGTTCGCAAGCAAGTTTGATTGTAGCCGGTTTCTCTGAAGCACCTTGCTAACCAGTTAGCAACTTAGTGCTAGCAGGTTCCCAATGGGAAATTCCATTGGGACCAAGTAGCACTAAATTGGTGACTTAGAAACGACGCTGTCAAGGAACGCTATGGACAGAGGAAACATGCAAGAAGAGGAGAGTTTAGTGTTGGAGGTTGTGGATGAGTCTCCTCCGTCATCCATTTTTTATTTAGAGGAGGAAAGCGGGGATGAAGATGTTGTGGAAGAGGATGCCAGGGCGGCAGAAGCTTGGTTTGGTGTAGAAGGCTTCCAGCCGTACATGTTTGAGCCCTTGCCTCGCAACGCTGCCAGTTCTGTTAGCTCTACGCCTGCTGAAGACACAGACCTCCATCTCCGTGAACACTGGGACGGAACTCAATGGGAAAGGAAATGATTCTGATTTCAACCGTTGCGTATATTAGCTGCGACATATGAATCAAGATGCTATGACCGAAAACATTTGATTGACAGATGACCATTGATATATGATTGGCCGAATTTAGATGTTCAGGCTGACATATAACTAACTGGCCTGCATAAGATAACGGAGAAAAAACACAGATTTGAAGACAGGATTATTTTTAAAAGAGAAATGTTCTAACTTTTGGGACAATATCGTCTTATAAAGAGTACATTTATATACATGTTTCAATAAGAATGATTTGACATTTAAATATCACTTCTTACGACTTTATTAATCGTACAGCAAAAGGTTCCTTAAAGAAGGTTTTTTCTGAAATTAAACTTGGTAAAACTAAAACTTTTCCCCTTTAAGAGTTCTGAATAGAGCAGAATGATAAATGAAAAAAGTTTTTTATCTTAAATGTTTACATATTTTTTTTACAAATATGGTATTTCTACTCTATGTGGGTCACTCTGTCAGTTAAAGGCATGTTTTAGAGTCTCTATACTACAGTCAACAATTAATCGATCCCTAAAATAATTGATAATTATTTCAATAATTGATTAATGCAATTAAGTGTTTAGCCCTAAAACGAACAAATACAATCTGTTTGAAAGCAGATAATTAAACCTATAAAGAATCAAGTGAACTCAACATTGCTGATACTTCCTCTGTAACTATGATTCTAAAGTTTGTAAGTATGTTCATCACTTTATTTTGCTCCATATTATGAAAAGTGATCATGAAGAGCAACTCACTGAGATATCTGTGGAGGGGGATGCAATGTTCTGGGTCATCGATGGGAGAAAGAACCTCACAGAGCCTCTCGGGGGTTTGTCCTTCGTGAAAGTACTTCTTGTCCCCACACTTGGTAAGAATGTCCACGCAGTCTGACCTGACAATAGAGGAAGAAAAAAGGCAAGCTGATCAAAATCTGACATGTAAAATGCTTAATCAGTGAGCAGGACACTTATTAAGAAGATGCTTCACGTTCAATTAGGACCTTCTGTGCCGACAAATTCTTAGCTCAAATTTCTGACCGACGAATTCAAATAAAGCCAGGCGTACACTGTGCGATTTTCGGGGCGATTTTGTAGTCGTGCGAGAATCTTTCAATCAGCCAGACTTTCAGCCTGATCGTGCGTCGTGAGTCATGTAGTGTACAGGGGGTAACGAGGGGCGATCAGCCTCTCACGACCAGGTCCTGATCAGGAATCGTGAGGTCGGAAGAAATCAAAAATGTTTGATTTCTTCCGACTGTCGTGGGCAAATCGCTCTGGGCGCATGCGCAAAGAAGGATTCTTCTTTTTTTTCTTCTTCTCAGATGTAAACACAGAAGCATGGCAGGGATGGAATGAGTGAAATGGAGTTATTTCTGTAAAATTAACAGACCGTAGCAGCCACGTTTGCTTAGCCTTGTTTTTGTCCAAATAAGTCGTCGCCTTTTCATTTCAGGGCTTTCAGCACAAAATAGCACAAAATGACAAGGCAGCGCGTTTCACTATAGTGAGCTGAATATTCCCCTTCTATTTGTTTGGCTTTCGGATAGACGAGTCAGAGCAGCTCCATTACGGAGCTGAGTCTGACGTGGTTTTAAGTCACACAGTTTGAGAAGGTCGATCGCATGAGTGCGTCGGGCCGAACATAAATCGTGGGCTGTGAGCTCACACTGTACGAATAACCACAGGGTTTAGTCGTACAGTGTGAGCAGTAGCTGCGTGCAGCGACTGAAAAAAATCACACAGTGTACGCCCGGCTTAATCTACCCATCTTCTACCCACTTGTGAAAAAAGGGTTAGCTATGGGGGGCTGGTGCCCATCGCCAGGAGTCTTTGGGAAAAAGATGGGCTAAGCAATTAATTCCATTAGCAATATAATCGCAATTTAATTTAAAATCGGAGACTTAACAAATTTTAATCTTACTATACATTTAACAAAAGTAATACACTAAATTTCTCCCTCCAGCACTTTAGGTGGTGGTTAAACGGTTGAAGTGGGTTTGTCGCCTCACAGAAAGGTAGAGAGATTTGCAGCTAGCACATAGATCTATGCATGGGAGTAGAAGTAAACACTTTTTCATTCATTGGTTAACATAAAGTCCTGTAAAAATGGACTATGGCTGTCAGAAATCAAAAGCCTGCAGTGAAACATCCACAAGCTTGGGGTTAGTGGAAAGGAAAATCTAAATAAAATTGCAAAGTCAAAAAAGTCAAAGTCAAAGTCAAAAAGCCTTTATTGTCATTATATTCTGTGACAGATACAATGAGATTTGGGACTTCCATAACAGCTACCGTGAAATAAAAATAAAAAATATATAAAAAATATATAAATATATTAAAAGGAAAAGGAAATGTAAACAGTTACAAAAAATATATATAAATATATTAAAAGGAAATGTAAACAGTGAAAAGGAAATGTAAACAGCACTGGCACAGATTGTGGGGGGGGGGGGGGGGGGGCTAGTGCAAAACAGGTGTAAAGTGACCGACAGTGCAGGTCGGAGTTGAGGGGGGGCAATGGCTTGGGGAATAATGCAAACCAGGTGAAAAGTGTCCGTCAGTGCAGGTCGGAGTTAAGGGCGGTCACAATCACAATTTTGGTGAAAAATAATCACATAAACTACGCACAACAAAAGACTCAGCTCAGGAACCATGAACCGTATGATATCTGGTTGTTCAATAGGTTTGCCTAAATAAAAGATTTAGATATGACCTATCAATATATTCCTGCAAAAAGGTCTGATGTTGCAGGGGAAGGTAATGAAAAGTGTTTGGAGCATGCTGTGGTTCTGAGGCCAGTTTATTTCAGCAGTTATCCAGTCTCCTGTAGAAGGGCTGGTCACATCACAGACTATTTGATTTAAATCGGATATAGTTAAGACCTGAACACGATGGTTTAGTACGACTTTTTTAATCCCCGATTCGATTTCTTTCAATGTCACTCTGACTGCATCAAGAGAGGCTCTAACTAGGCAGGGTGAGCAGATCTGCTCAGATGTTTTTCACTTCTTTCTCTGTGCTAGACAGATTAAAACTATTTCACAGGTTTAGTTCAACAAATATGAAACGTTAATAAAAATAAAAACGAGTCTGTGCAGCATCTCAAACCAGAACAGAGAGACTGTTCATAAAAACGTAATGAGATCTACATCTAAAGACAAGAAAAACACAGCAATAAACTCTGTGGGACGGTTTCTATGCTGACTGTGGCAGAGAGGTGATTCTCAGAGAGAGATCTGGGAGCGTTTTTTTTTTCATAAAAAGGTGAGAGAAATACGCTGCGCTCACCTGCTCGGTCTGACCGTTGTTTTGTTTTTTTGCAAGGCTCAAAGAGGATTGTTATTTTAACATATCTTTTTTTCTCCTGAATTATTATTTTTTTCTTGGAGGATATTGATTAACTGTGATTTCTGTCCTTGGTTGTTTTTGCTAGGCTCGAAGACGATCAATACATTTTCCGTTTTCTATCCTTCTGAACTCCTTTCATGGGTAAAGTATTCTTTTTGAAAGCTATAGGGGAGGATTTTCGCTAATTTTTAAAAAGACTTGCCCTCTCCACTTAAAAAAAAAAAATGCACACGCACAGCCTTAATGTGCTCCCAAGCGGGAACGCCTATTCACATAGGATTTGATAGACACTTCCTGTTGTCTGTTGTCATGGTGACTGGTCGGATCTGGGCTCCACTAATAATGGCTTTTCATGCTTGGAACTCAAAACTAACTCATAACAGCTTTTATTAAACTAAAAACTCAGCGTTTCCAACCTTATGCTAGATAAATTTAGAGTTAGGGATTTGAATCTGAGTTTGTGAAAATTGTTTCATGACACAGACCCCAGGTGGTTCTGACTTATGAATCAACCGGCCTATGTTTTATAACAAATATCCTACATTTAGTAACAGCACAGTAAAAAAACATCTCTATGTGGTTATGTCAGAGGGAGAATACTGTTAGAGCTAGCTCAGCATTCTCAGGGGAGGGTAGTGGTGCTGAGGGACATGGAGGCATCAGCCTCCAGGTCAGAATGATCCAGAGCGGACCTCCAGCCTACAGAGTCACACTCTGAGCTGATGATGCTAATATGACTGCAGCAGCTCCGTTAGAAAACACATGGCGGGGAAATAGGGCTGCTATGCCTCTGTTACAAATAGTAGAACCAGTTACTAGCTTATGAATATAGATTAGTAGATAATACTTTAAATAAACATGATTTTCAAATAAATCCTCCGCTGTTACAATAAATCATCTTATCTTCTGTATTCTTAAAGATATAGCTGGCAACTCCACCGTCCTTCACTGGCAGGGTTGTAAGATCTGCTTATTTCCAAAAACAATTTGACCCGCCCCCACCTGAATAAAAACATAAATTCATCTAAACTTTCTGTAAAAACCATGAACCTATAAAACACCTAATACAGAACGCAGTGCCATGTTATTACCATTAAGTTAGACTCTGGGTTTCTCTCCCTTTCCCAGAGGGGACGCCGCAGGTATGGCTGTTGTTAGCTGCATATGTTAGCGTTTTACAACACTAACATCCACTTACCAAGTGAGTCTTTCAATGTGGGAACAAATTAAACAACAGGTCCTTCTCAAAATGATCCAATCGCAGAGCAGACACCGTGGACTGCTCCACCTCCTCCCGATCTCATCTTACCTGCTTCACCTGCACAAAATCTGCCAAAGCCATAGATGAATCCTAATCCTTCAGCAGCTGTCTATAGCAAAACCCCCGTTCCAAGTCATACCTTCAGCTTTGTTTTTGGACACTAAGCGACGCTAGAGTCCTCACAATGGCAACCTTTTTTTGATAAAAAACAATGTTATGTGGTCCCCCTTAAAATTATTATTTTGTTAGAAATAATAACGCTTTGGTCTAAAAAAAAAATACGTGAAAATGTCAATATCATATCATCAACACTTTATAGGTTTTCCCTCTTGCCCCCTGTTCTGTTCCTTTACTACACTCACCGGCCACTTTATTAGGTACCCCATGCTAGTAACGGGTTGGACCCCCTTTTGCCTTCAGAACTGCCTCAATTCTTCGAGGCATAGATTCAACAAGGTGCTGGAAGCATTCCTCAGGGAGTTTGGTCCATATTGACATGATGGCATCACACAGTTGCCGCAGATTTGTCGGCTGCACATCCATGATGCGAATCTCCCGTTCTACCACACCCCAAAGATGCTCTATTGGATTGAGATCTGGTGAATGTGGAGGCCATTTGAGTACAGTGAACTCATTGTCATGTTCAAGAAACCAGTCTGAGATGATTCCAGCTTTATGACATGGCGCATTATCCTGCTGAAAGTAGCCATCAGAAGTTGGGTACATTGTGGTCATAAAGGGATGGACATGGTCAGCAACAATACTCAGGTAGGCTGTGGAGTTGCAACGATGCTCAATTGGTACCAAGGGGCCCAAAGAGTGCCAAGAAAATATTCCCCACACCATGACACCACCACCACCAGCCTGAACCGTTGATACAAGGCAGGATGGATCCATGCTTTAATGTTGTAGACGCCAAATTCTGACCCTACCATCCAAATGTCGCAGCAGAAATCGAGACTCATCAGACCAGGCAACGTTTTTCCAATCTTCTATTGTCCAATTTCCATGAGCGTGTGCAAATTGTAGCCTCAGTTTCCTGTTCTTTTCATTTCATTTATTGTTTATTTGAAAGGGGACAGTGTACATTAATAAACATTAAAACAATGTAAATATACCCGAGTTAGCTAAGGAGTGCTAATTTTCATCGGTAGTCCCCCAGCCAGATATTAAAAAGGCAACCTTAAAAATAAACACAAGTATAAAATCACAAGATTAAATTACAATACCAAATACATAAAAACATTATGGTTAAGAAGTACAATGTATGTAAAATTATTAAAAATATATTGTAAAATTATTTAAATACACACTAAAAACCTTGGTGCCCGCAAATTTGGCTCTCTACAGGCCATTTTTTTGCATTCTTTTTGAATGAAGAGAATGACAAAGAGTCTCTGATGGTTTCTGGCACTGTGTTCCAGTGCTGAGATGCTCTTACGGAGAAGACAGCCTGACCAAAGGCTGTTTTTCTCCGGGGGATGATGCAGTCTTCCCTCACTGCCCCTCTGGTTACCCTGACCTCACTGGATCTGAACTGTACAAAGTCACATAGTGGAGCTGGTGCTAAACCATGTCTGATTTTATAAATTAAGCAGATGTTTTTGAATTTGATAAGATTGTTCCAGGTAAGTAACTGATATTTCCTCAGAATACTACAATGGTGGTAGTGGTAAGGTTTTTTATCCAGTATTTTTAATGCTTGTTTATATAATGTTTCTAATGGTTTTATTGTAGTAGAGTGAGTATTGGACCAACTTATTATACAATATGTTATATGGGATAAAATCATGGAGAAAAAATATGATTTAGCAGCTTCAGTTGAAAGAAAATCTCTAATGAATCTGAAGTTTGCTAAACTAAACTTAATCCTATTACGAACCTTTTGGATATGAGTTTTGAAATTGAGATGCGAATCTATATGTAAACCTAAATATTTATATTCAGTGACGACCTGTAATCTTTCTCCAGATATAAAAATTTCAGGTTCTATATTTATGAGGTTGTTTTTTGAAAGGTCTTAGCTGAAAGGAGTGGCACCCGGTGTGGTCTTCTGCTGCTGTAGCCCATCTGCCTCAAAGTTCGACGTACTGTGCGTTCAGAGATGCTCTTCTGCCCACCTTGGTTGTAACGGGTGGTTATTTGAGTCACTGTTGCCCTTCTATCAGCTCGAACCAGTCTGGCCATTCTCCTCTGACCTCTGGCATCAACAAGGCATTTCCGCCCACAGAACTGCCGCTCACTGGATGTTTTTTCTTTTTCGGACCATTCTCTGTAAACCCTGGAGATGGTTGTGTGTGAAAATCCCAGTAGATCAGCAGTTTCTGAAATACTCAGACCAGCCCTTCTGGCACCAACAATCATTCCACATTCAAAGTCACTCAAATCACCTTTCTTCCCCATACTGATGCTCGCTTTGAACTGCAGGAGATGGTCTTGACCATGTCTACATCCCTAAATGCACTGAGTTGCCGCCATGTGATTGGCTGCTTAGGAATTAAGTGTTAACGAGCAGTTGGACCGGTGTACCTAATAAAGTGGCCGGTGAGTGTATATCAATGTTTACTGTTCAGTTGATTTAAGGTCATTTTTGACACTTTAGTACTGTCCAGAAGTTTTTAGTAGCAACGAAACGCCAAAAAGTTTGCAAAATGGAAACAAAAAACCTATAAGGCAGGGCATTTTCACATATAGTGTGAAAGCCCATTTGTCTCTAGGAGAAACGAATCATTAGGAAACATCAAGAGGACATGGGAAAAATTAAAAGAAAAGAAAAATCTGCAAAAAAAAAAGAAGAAAGAAATGAATCTGTTTTCTGAAGTTTTACTAAATAGCAGACCTACTTGCATATGATGCTCCCTCTAGATTTGCTGTGGCATGGCTTGATCTGCAGCGAGCAGGCCACGGCCTTCCACATGTCCGGGAGACACTTCCTGATGTCCAGGACAGGGATGTTCATAAACGGCATTTTAATCGTCCCATTGGACCAAAGCTTGATGTCGTTCATGGCACCTTGGTCTGACTGCATATTACAGCTGCGGAACAGCTCCGTGGGCCTATAAATACACACAAAATATAGTCCCTTAAGAGTGAGAAGAAAGGTAGGTTCAAATTTATTTTATAAGTAATAAAAAAACAGAAGACACGACAACTTATACCTGAAACTTTACATCTAAAATGTGAGACTATTTAGTCATCCACTGACAGCAAGTTCTCCTACTTGGAAAGTTGAGAGGTCTTTAATTTTCATCATATGTCCACTTCATCTATGAAAGATAAATTAAAGTGCAAGCATTTGGTCACCCAAAAACAGGATTTCTGGCACTCACAGAGCCTTTATGTTCTTTAAGAGGCTATTCTCTCCTCCAATAATTAATATTAATGGCACCTGGTTCTTAGTATAAAGGACAAATACCAGCAATGGTATGTACAAACCTGGTGATGACTCACAGCCAATGTTTGACCTCTGCCATTGCCAACTAAGGGTCAGCATTATGATGGATGTTGCGATATGAAACGCGTCAGGATTCTTGGGTCACAATACGATATGACTATATTATTAAGGTAAAATGAAATGTATAGATATGTTTATCAGAAGATACTGATCATTTAGTTATTTTTGTAACCATGTAACCACCTCATCTACCTGGCTGTGTGTTTGCGCCTTATACAATTACCTTTTGTATCTCTGCTTCTTTTTCTATGTCTGCTTCTGTCTCCTTGAACCCCAGTCAGCCTCAGCAGATGGCCGCTCACACTGAGCCTGGTTCTGCTGGAGGTTTCATCCTGTTAAAAGGGAGTTTTTCCTCTCCACTGTCGCTACAAGCATGTTTAGTGTGAGCAGAGATGGCAAAAGTACTCACTTTCCGTACTTGAGTAAAAGTACAGATACTTGTGTTAAAAAATACTCTGGTAAAAGTGGAAGTACTGATTAAACTTTTTTACTCAAGTAAAAGTAACAAAGTACAGGCTTGTAAATTTACTTAAAGTATAAAAGTAAAAGTAGAAACCACTTTTTTCATGCCGTTGCCTACATTTTAAATGGGTGTCTGCCAATAGGACTAGATCTCCGTTGTGTTCATTTTCAATCATCTCGTCGTCCATGCTACTATGCTAACGCCACCGCCACCAAGCTGCAATGATTTGCCGCGAATGAATACCGCCGAATCTGTCGATTCATCCTGTAGTCAAATGCAACGTAGATTCCCATCCAATTAGATTGAATATGGTATTGATGATGTGAAAAATAATAACGGTAACTCCATTGAAATGATTCAAAACTAAAGTAACGAGCCAATTTTTTAAAATGTAAGGAGTAGAAAGTACAGATATTTGTGTAAAAATGTAAGGAGTAGAAGTAAAAAGTCGCCATAAAAATAAGTAGTAAAGTGAAGTAAAAATATCAGAAAAATCTACTTGAGTACAGTAACGAAGTATTTGTACTTCGTTACTTCCCATCTCTGAGTGTGAGGGATTAATGAAGAGTCAATGAGTCGATGCAATCAATTGGTTTTCCTTAGATTAAAAACTTTGAATCAATCTGACTGGATGATCTGGTTGAACTGTAAAGTGCCTTCAGATGACGTGTTGTGAATTGGCGCTATAGAAATAAACTGCACGGAATTGAATCTATTTTGAGTTTTTCTTTCATTAACCCACCAGAGGGTTTTAGGAATAATTTCCCCATGAAATCACATATCTGATTAAATCAATACCAACTCCAAATGTATAAAGTGGAAATTTAAGTCACTATTGCAATTGTTACATTTTCTCTTTTATAGGTGATCAAACAGTGATTAAACCAAAATTCCAGCCTTGCATTTTTTTTTAAGCTGAACACTTTAAATCACAATAGAAGCCCCTTTGAAACTTTGGATCAGCCCTCAGACTGTATAGATCCACAACTGCAGCAAATTTGGACTGAACTGGTTGAAGCATATTGTTCCAAAAAAGGTTTTAGTGGACAGGGTGGCTGATTTTGGCACATATGTGTCAAAAGTGGTCAAAATGTTCCAATTGTTTTCCTAATAAATAGGAATATGGTCAAATGAAAGTGCTGCAGTCCATGGTATGGCTACTTCTGCACATAACGTGATCTTTTCATAAGATTCCCCTGTTTCACATTAAAATGGAAAAGGAAATGTAAATGTAAATGTATTTCTCAAAATAAGCTTATTTTTCCTATGAAATAAAAGAATTTACATTTAAAATAAGAAAAGCCAATTGTATTTTCTCATATCAAGTGCATTCCATTGAAAAATAATCTTATTACCTCTTCAAATTAAGGGTAAATACACTAAATTTAAGATTTTTAAAATTTATTTCCAGATTGTTTTTGCAGCGCATAATATCAATAAATTAAATATAAGATTAGATGTATTGTCATTATTTCATACTGTATTTATGTGCCTTTGTTTTGGAGATGCTTGATTTATAAAGTTATGCCAGAGCTTATTGATACAGCGGGTCGCTCTGGATCCATCCATCCATCCATTCATTATCTGACACACTTATCCCAAGTGGGGTCCTGAGGGGTGCTGGTGCCTATCTGCAGCTGTCTATGGGTGAGAGGTGGGGTCCACCCTGGACAGGTCTTCAGTCCATCACAGGGCAACACAGAGACAAACAGGACAAACAACCATTCACACAAACACTCACACCTAAAGAGGATTTAGAGAAGCCAAAAAACCTAACAGTCATGTTTTTGGACTGTGGGAGGAAGACGGAGTACCCGGAGAGAACCCACGCATGCTCAGAGAGAACATGCAAAGAGTTTGCATGGAGTTAGCAGCGTCACACCAGATATTTCAGTCAAAACATTATGAATTGTGCAATAATGTGCTGTCAAAATAACCTCTACAGACAACTCTTGGGTGTTTAAAGTCATTTGAGCTTTAGAAGGAAGTCTGACCTGTTGTTGAAGTTGGTGCAGTAAGTGAGGTCTTTGCAGCCAAGCTGGCAAGGCTCTCGGACGTCAGCCAGACAGTTGATGAGCTCTATCTCCATTGGGTTGTACTCACACAACTGATCAAAATCCTGCCAAGTCTGACTGCCCCAGTGGGTGCTGATCTCCCGACACTTCTCCCTGATGCAGCAAAGTACGATAAGAGCCATCGTCCGTAATCAAGCGTTCACTATATTCTAGGACGAGGTGAACGTGGTACTTCACCTGCAGACTGATGTGTTTGCCTTAGAACAGCAGTGCAGCTTGGCACGGTCCATCTTGGCTGGATGCGGTGTCTCGTCCACAGGTGGAGACGGAGGGTGGGCTCTGATCAGAAAACATTGCCACATTGGGTCCTGAGGGAGGGGCTGGGTCCCACATTCCTTTATCAGACCCTCCATGATCTCCTGGTCTGTATTCATTGTGCGAAGGAGATGCTTACAGGCCGCCTGACAATTAGGGGCTTCAGCCCGGTCACAGCAGTACAAACCTGGAGGAGAGAATCACATAGCCTGAGCAGGGAGCGAAATGCTGATTATTGGCGTGTCGACACCTGTTTGAAAATCATGCTTATTTTTAGTGGGAAAGAGGCTATATGCTCCGCGTAATTCATTCTGGCTGGCCAGGCTAGGCTGGATGAGCTTTCTCTCTCTCTTTGTTTTTTTCTCTTAAACATGAATAACCTTCAATTTAAAGAGTCATTATGCAGTTTTTTAATTATACTGCCACCAGTGGCCAAAATTCAGAACTGCAGCACTCTTCTGCTTGTTCTCATACCTCACGTTACCTGGAGTTGCTATTGGCGTCTGAGTTGAGCTGGATGCCGGTTGCTTCTGCACATCCACACAATCCATGTTGAATATAAAGCTTTGAATGTTTGCCAGGTTGGACCCATTTAAGGCTTGATGTCACAGCCGCAGAATAGCACAGAAACTGCAGGCTTATACATGCATCGCTGAATAACTACTGAGGTGTCAGTCTGCTCATTTAACCATGTTTTAGTCATTAAGTGTCGAATAAAAAGGCTATTTTAAAGATATTTTTGGGTAAAAACTTACAAAATGTCTGTTTAAAGAAGAAGGAGGACTGTATAAATAAAATTCCAGGTTATGACTTTACATTATCTTCTTATAGTGATACATAAAAAGCAATATGAATAAACTCAGAGATCAAAGTAATGCCTTCAGAATAATATAGAATAAAATGAGAGATCCATTGCTATTAATAAGCAAACCAAAGTACCTCCTGTCATCATGCTACCTTAAAGCTTTCCCACATGTTTTAAGTTGTTGAACGAATGTGAACGTACTGTCTATTGGGCTCCGAGCGGGGTAGGACTCTGTGAAATTGTTGACACATTCAACCAGCTTAGGGCTGTGGCTGCTGCAGAACTCTTTGACGGTCTTGATCTGGGACTCTGTTGGGGTCGAGTCTGTTCTGAATATGGCATCACAGAAGTCCCTGCAGTTGGTGTGACGGCCCACAAAGCTGCAGCATGATGAGCCCACTAGAGGAACAAACACAAAGGCGTTGCTGAAAGCATTCTGTAAGGTATTTACAATTTCAGTGTTTATTCAGAGACCATACACAACTGTGTGGTGAAATTAGAAGCCAGGTTTAGATGTGAGACAAAATGGAATTATTATGTATGATTGTCTGTGTGAGACTGAAAACTTACTTTCATTTTTGATGATGCAGCTGTAGAGAGAGTTCTAGAAAGAGAAAAAAGGAAGGCATCATGGATAATTGCCACCAATGTCCATACAGCAGCAGCCATTCAAAATTTCCCCACTTTCCTTGATGGCTGGTCCCCACAATTCCTTTTTTACACTTTAATATTTGTACTAAAATGTTCTTTCTGTCATGATTCAAAAGGGTGAAAGGGTACAGTCAGAGAAAAAAAATATGCACGCCCAGTAGAAGAGGGGTCACTCTAGTGGCTGGTAGTGGGCTGCCATTCGATTGGCTTTTGACTGGGAAAGGCCATTTAGGCTGCGTTCACACTGCAGGCCTTGATGCCCAATTCTGATTTTTTTGTGAAATACGATTTTTTCGCGTTGTCGTTCATATTCCCAAATATATGCGACTTGTATGTGATCTCCTGTGTGAACTGCAGTCATACAACGCAAGTGCCGCATGCGCGGTAGAGGACGCAATGACGTCACAGGCCAGCGTGCTCTTTTTTTCCGGAAGTAAACATGGATGGTAGTGCCGGAGCGCATCTAGCGGTCTTTTCCAACCATAAAAACTCAATCTTTTCAGTATGGTTAAACATAAATACTAATCTCTGCATCATCATCTGCCATGATTGATGTTTTTCTTGCCGCTTCTGTGTAACAAGATGCAGAATAGGGATCTTTGTCGGGTATTAATGACGTTCAGGTCGGATGAATCCAACCTGGCCGTTCAGACACAGGTCGCATTTGAAAAGATCAGATTCATATCGGATTCAGGATCACACAGCCAAGTGGCCTTGGTCGGATTGGAAAAAACTGATCTGTGTTGTTCAGACTGCCATGAAAAGATCAGATCCAGGTCACATGTGGGCCCAAAAAAAAATCGGATCTGGGTCAGTTCAGGCTGCAGTGTGAACGTAGCCTTTGAATGGCTGCTACTGTATAACATTCATCTGTGTATGTATCGAGAAATTGTCAGGAATCAAAACGACTTCAACTGGACTGGTGGTAACCAGAGGTGTCAAGTAACAAAGTACAAATACTTTATTACTGTACTTAAGTACACTTTTTAGGTATCTATACTTTACTCCATTACTTATTTCTCTTCCTACTTCTGACCTCTACTCATTGCATTTTCACACAATATCTGTACTTTCTATTCCTTACATTTTAAAAACAAAAGCTACTCGTTACTTTTGGCTTCAGTTTAATGTTTATAAATATTTATTTCACATCAATGCAGATCATTGGCGCCATCCACATCTAGTAAAAACTAGTGTAATTGGACACTCATTGGGTGGCTACTCATACAAATTTGTGCTGACACCAAAAGAAATAATCAGAAGCAAGCAGGTGTTCTTCAAACTGCTAACGTGAATTGTCTATGCCATGCTACAACGTTGGATTCAGAAAAAGATGTTGAAATGTCTGAAAGGTCGACACAGGCAAGATCGTATCGGGAGACGGAGACCAACAAGACCTCCCTCATCCTTGGCCCTATCTCAGAGAATTTTTAGAAATAGTCAAAAAATTGAGATTTTAATTCATATAGCGGCATCTGGCTGTTTTTTTAAAGGTTACTTTATACTTTTATACTTCAAGTAGTTTTGGGAGCACATACTTTTTCACTTTTACATGAGAGGTTAATAAGAGGTTAATTGATACTAAAACTTTTAGTTTGTTTTTAAACTAAACTTCTACTTAAGTGAAAAATGTGTGTACTTTTGACACCATTGGTGCTAACTGGTGTCCAGCAAACTGGAAACTGTTGGGCTGCTCAGTGTAGTTATGTTAATACAATGTTTGAAAAGCACAAAATGCAGAAAATTTTTTTAATTAATTCCATCCTGAAACAAAGAAAACCACTTTTCTGTTCACAGCCAAATGGATTAAAGAGGGAAGTTCGTGATAAAAAAAGCTGAAGAAGAAGAAGACTACAGTAGTAGCCATTCAAAATTTCCCCACTTTCCTTAATGAGCCCTTGGCTGGTCGTCTACAATTCCTTTTTGAGCATCAATCTTTGTACTAAAATATTCTGTCATGATTTGTGGACATTGAGATCTAAAGAGAAGCGTCATCTCCTGGTCAGGGAAAGGGTGGAGTCAGAGTAAAAAAATGCATGCCCAGGAGAAGGCCAGTGGCTGGCAGTCGCAGGGGAGTGGACTGCCATGAATGGCTGCTAATGTAGCACCACATATGCTACTTTTTGTTGTACAAGCATTTACAATTACATAGCGATAAAAGTTGTTGTTAGAGCTGTTCAGCATCTGGCAAAGTCTTCACTTCCACTTGCAGAGGCGCTCCTCATGTGCACGCTGTAGTAAACTTCCCCCGCCCGCCTGACCTACTTGGAGCTAGGCAGGCTCTCATTTGGTCCCACAAAAAGCTGCTGCAACGGTTTTGTGACCATCTCCAAACTCAATATATCAATGTTTTTTTTTTTTTTTTACATCTCTTTTCAAATTCTTGAAATCAGTGTATAATGTGTTTATTTTTAAAGGGTTTACCCGTCTACAAAAATCTTTAGATTAGGCCGGGTTGCATTTTGTTAAATGAATTCCACAAAGTAAGTGGTTAATCATAGTAACTGAGTAATTGAATTTAAACAAGGAGTAATAAGTAACAAGGAACCTGGTTGCTTTGTTAACAAAAATTACATTTGATATTTGCTTCTGTACTAACCAGATTATATATTGGAAAATAACTTTCTCGGTCTTAAAAATTATTGATTTGAGTCAGTCCCAGCAAAGTTAGCCTGATTTAAAACTAAATAACTTTATGGACAAAGGGCATTCTTTTAGGACCAGAATGTTCACATTTTGGAAAAAGTTAATAGGTTGTTTGAAACAAGTGTGAAGGAAGCCATCTATGTTAAGAAAGAAAAACCAACCTTAAACAGAGGGGGTGGGCTCATATTCCAGCCTTCAAAAGCCTACAATTCAGCAATTGACCTGATTCCTTCCTGCTATCATTGCAACCCCTTTACAGGGGAACATTAGACCTTGCCTATTCAGCCAGGCCAACAATTCCCTTTAATGGCACCCTTTCAGAGACATAGACAGGTATGGGGCAATGCAGGCTAACAAAGAAGCCAAAAGACCCCCATTCCAAAGGGGTGGACCCCTTCGTCTATTTCAGTTTGCATGTTTTCTAGACCAAACAAGGCTTTGATGGGCTACTGGATAAAGCTTTGAACTCAATGCTATTTTAGACATTTTTAATTGAGAAAGCTTCATGGATGGGAAGCTAAACGTCTTCAAACTTGGAAACAAAGTCCAATGGATTGTTTTTGAACTTTTTTTGGAATGACAAAATTAATGAGGGATTTAACAGCATGTTTGTCTTACCTCTGTGACCTTTTTGCATACTTTTGTTATGTCATTTTTAGACGATGCCTGGTGGAAGAAAACAACCAAATATATTTAGATATTTTGTTCATGTTATGTTATCAAGTACATTTAGAAACAAACAAATTTCAAATAAAAACAACAGTGAAATTACTAACATGACAAAGAGTCCTTATCCTGAAGTTCTTACCTGCTTGCATTCCCTACGACACTCGCTTGCTATTGCCAGTTCACAACAACCAAGTCCAACCCAGCCATCAGACTTCTTCGAAACCCCTGGAAACAAACCGAACAGCAGTGCATCAACCCAGTCTACCTTCCATTCTCCAACAAAGTTTATCTACCATGAAAAGCCATTGGCAGATAAGTGTTTGTTAAAAGGTGATATGGTCATACTGATGATTTGCTAGTAAGTTAAATAAAAAAAACCCAGTCATATTCAGAATACAAAGTTCTAAAAATACTTTAAATATGAAATTATTACATACTGTTTAATAAATGATCAGTGTTTTTAATTCAGAGTAATTTCCCTTTGAATTTGCTTTACTGGAGGCATCCATGTTTGTCAAAGAACTCTACTGCCACCTACTGGTTTGTGACGTCACGGTGCGGTATTGGCTGTTGATCAAGTCCCAGTGCTGTATCTGGTGTTTGTCACAACGCGCTATTATCCAAGTCATCTTGAAAACATTCTTCTTCCAAATGTTGGCTACATATTACAGGTTTTTTCTCTGGCCAGAAGTTCGATGGCAAATCCTCCCTCTTCAAGTTCGCAATCCAACGACCAACCCGTCCGTGGAGGATCAGGAATCAGAAAGGTGGAATAACTTTTTTTTTTTTCCACTTTTACCCGATGTATTCCAACATCCAACTGCCATGCACGTGGGCATTGTCAGTTTCACTATAGCTCTGGTGAATTTCAATGGTGAAGTCCTCTGGAAATCTTCAATAATTGTTGTTGATTGCAGATGTGTCTATTAGTTCCCATTGATTTTGCTTGTAAAGCGGGGAGAATGGCGCTAGGCTTACCGCACCATGATGTCACTGCCGGAATATGGCAGGAGGGAGGGGTTACTATATTTGGGCAAAAATGGCCGCTCCCAGACTCAGTGATCGTAACTAAAATTATTGTTTTTACTTTTTACTGATTAACACAAAATTCTTTAAATCACCGCAAATGTATTAGTTGTAGGTATAAATAATGATCCATTGGTTATTCCTTGCTGACCCGACTTCTCCTCTAAACCCTAATATCACCTGCCAGCAAGTAGTTTATCTAATTAAGACAGTTCCTCTGTCCGGATATATAATTATCATCTTTATTCTGCACGTGGAAAAGATTTGGGAAAGGAATGAGAGCCTCGTGCTTGATCTAAGAACAAAGTGTAATATTTTGATATGGCTGTAGCCATTGATGTCTCCCTCATTTACAAACATGCATGATGTAATGATGTGATGATGTGGCAGAGTGGAGTTGTATAAAATGCTTCTGCAATGGGATTTGGGGCCACTTCAATCCTGAGCTATCTCTATAGTTATGCTGCTATAGGCTTAGACTTTTGGAGGACATAGGGACCCCCATTTCATCATTCTGCTTCATTCTCTCTCTGTTCTCCTATTCTGCAGAATCTGTTAGTTCAATCTCTAACGTTCTGCTCTCTCTGCTTTTTCTCAGAGTAGCTTTGCCTCGTCTGTTCCTGTTTGGCTGTGACGTCATCCTGGAAAAAAACATCAGCTGTGCTGCTTCTATCAACACCCTTGTTAATAGATGTTGGAGATCGGCCTGTTTTCCAGTGTGGTCCTGTTTCTCTGACCGTGACTGAGTGGATGTGCTCTCTTCGTCCTCTGGCATGGGAGCTGCCTTGGAGCTCGTCTGCCTGGCTGTGTGTTTCCTGGACGGGGCCGCCTTTTACAGCTGCTTTTTGTATCTCTGCTTCTGTCTCCTTGAACCCCAGTCGGCCTCGGCAGATGGCCGCTCACACTGAGCCTGGTTCTGCTGGAGGTTTCTTCCTGTTAAAAGGGAGTTTTTCCTCTCCACTGTCGCTACAAGCATGCTTAGTGTGGGGGATTGTATTTGAGTCAATGAGTCAATGCAATCAACTGGTTTTCCTTAGATAGAAAACTTTGTATCAATTTGACTGTATGATCTGGTTGAACTGTAAAGTGCCTTGAGATGACATGTGTTGTGAATTTGGCGCTATATAAATAAACTGAATTGAATTGAATTGAATTCAATGAGATGAGTCTGGTTTGTAAGCGCTGCCTTCTGTGACTCAAAGAAAATTGAGTAAGATTACAGTTTCTATCAAAATCTGATGTCATATCATGGTCATAAAATACATTGTAAAGTGTTATTGAAAGTTTGTTCTGAGTGAAGTCTCAGGAAAAGAACTGGAGAGAGAAAGCTTTGAGGCGTAAACACAGAGCTTTCCTAAATAGTAGACCTGTAATTGCTCAAGATATATTTTACTTTAAAAGTCATTTGTGAAAGTCAAAGTATCACTTAGTGAGAAATAAGGCAGAATGATACGGAAAGTCAGTAAGTGAAGATGGCACATTGAGGAGTCTGTTTACACCAACAGAAAAAAATCCAAAGAAGCTGCTGGAAAGCAGACGATATTGATCATATCTACGAGCGAAGGATATGAGGAAAAGCTTTACCCTTAAAGTTTAATCTGGAAATACCTGAGGCTGTCTGGAGGCCAACTGTTCAGCAGGTACAAGAGGAAAGGATAAAGGCATCCAAATCTGGAGGCCATTAGGAGTCTGACAGATTTGTTTTCCAAGTTAGAGCAGAAGAATTCAGCCCTTTGATGCCTGCTCTGTTTTTTGCTCAACGGTTCTGCCGTCTGCTTAGGGTTAGGCCAAAACACGCCAGCTATCATTCATCCTAATGCAAGCAGACAAAGACAAAGGTTATCTAGATTTATTGGATTTACGGTGGAGACGCTTTTCTTTACTCATTCTAAATAAGCATTAGAACAGAAAAAGCATGGCTAACTATGTGATTCCTGATCTAAATCTTGGATTGAAGCAAACAGAAAAACACGTCAAAGTGCTGTTTAAGTCAAACTCTATTAAAATACTGACGCTGATGAAGCTACACAAAACCACAGGAAAGTTAATAAATCAGTCAACCAATTTCTTAAAAAAGAACGTCATGTTTTTATTTCATTTTTATAAAGAAGGATTTCACTATAAAACTTTAAAGGAAAAGTACGGTCAGCGGGGAATAACCAATTAGGGTTGGGAATTGATAAGATCTTGACGATTCCGATTCCCTTATCAATTCTGTTAAACGATTCGATTCCTTATCAATTCTCTTATCGATTCTGTGAAACAATGAACTAGGTATGTGCAGTGACATTCGTCTACCTTCGCCTGGGATATTCTATTTCTGCCTGCCTCGGCGAAAACAGTAGGCAGTGAACGGGAGCTGCCAGCCTCTGATTCAGCCAGGCTACCACAGTCATCTAAATCTAATGGAGAAGGCACCCGTTTAATGAAAAAGCATTACTGTACAATGTCGGGAAATAAACAACTCTCCCCCTTATTTAAATAAACGACTGTCACCTTTCTCTTGCTCCCTGAACTTTGGAGCAACTTCGTAGCACGTTTAATAACCCTAAAAGAGGTAGGAAATTGATTTATTTTCAGAAATGGCATGGATTTACTAGGAACCACATTAAGCACAACCAGTCAGTGTTGTGGTCAAGACCACCTAACCCGAGACCAAGACAAGACCAAGACTTTTAGGGTCCGAGACCAAGTCAAGACCAAGACCAGCGCCAGTATTTGACAATAAAATGTGAAACATGATCAAAATCACAAAAATTGATCTAAAAGACCCACATTCACATAAAAACACCTAGATATTTAACACACATAACTGGACTAAACATTAACATCTTTATTTAGTACTTCTGTGTAGTAATCACAGAATTTCAAACAAATAATCAAAGTCGATCAAAATTGTATTTTCTCTGCCCTTCATGAACAGTACATACATTTATGTTTTTTTTAAATGTGCTATTTCAAAACAATGTGCAAAATTCTATAAAAGTGTAAAACTGAAAAAAAAAGCCAATCATTTCTCTTGTTTCTCTCTCATATACAGATTAAAGCTATATCATATAACTTTTCTTAAATAAATCTATATCTGTCACCAAGTTGTGAAATATGTTATGAGACAGATAATTTGTTTAAAAAATAGATTGATCTCCTTCACTGCATTTACCAATGAGACAGGTTATTGCTTGGATTTGAATCCAAGCATCCAATAAAAAGAAGGATCTTAAAGAAACTGATAATATTCTGATGATTAGTGTTATTTCCACAGTTGTGGTCTTGACCGGTCTTGAAATAAAATGCTGAGTCCTCAGCGCCCGAGACCGAGACAAGACCGAGACCAAATGCGGTCAAGTCCGAGACGAGACCGAGACCATCAAAAAATTGGTCTCGAGACCGGTCTCGAGTACTACAACACTGCAGCCAGTGACGACCTACTTCCCACCAGAGTTGCCTTCCATGCTGGTCGTAACTTTAGCTTCTGTCCAGAAGGCATCAAAAACATGGCCTTCGCTAAAATGTATGCCTCATTGTGTGCTCAGATGTTTCTGCGTGTTGGATGCATTTCCTCCCGCAGATCTTATTGCCACTTTACATCCAAACTTTCCATCGGTTTACCCGATAGGACGCCATTTTTTTGTTATGCTTTTCTAGACTTACGCCTGGTCATGTCGTACTTGCTTACTGAATGCTGTGTGCGTTACTTGCGTAAAAAACAGGATGTTACTTACGTACAAAACGCGACGTAAGTCTTGCTGCCCAGCGCTAGGCCTGAGCTGCCTGGAACTGTTAAGAGAATCATTAAGCGAGCTGCCAAACAATGCCATGCAATTGGAACACACATCCATATAACCAACGGATCATTATTTATACCTACAACTTATACGTTTGCGGTGATTTAATGAATGTAGCGTTAATCAGTAAAAAATAAAAAAATATTTTTTGTCGTTTTGTCGTAGTCTGGGAGCGGCCATTTTTGTCCAAATATAGTAACCCCTCCCTCCTGCCATCTTTCAGCAGTGACGCCACGGTGCGGTAAGCCTAGCGCCATTCTCCCTGCTTTACAAGCTAAATCAATGGGAACTACTAGACACATCTGCAATCAACAACAATTATTGAAGATTTTCAGAGGACTTCACCATTGAAATTCACCAGAGCTATAGTGAAACTGACAATGCCCACGTGTATGGCAGCTGGATGCTGGAATACACTGGGGAAAAGTGAAAAAAAACCAAAGAGTTATTCCATCTTTCCGATTCCTGATCCTCCATTGACGGGTTCGTCGTTGGATTGCCAACTTGGAGAGGGAGGATTTGCCATCGAACTTCTTACCAGAGAAAAAACCCGTAATATGTAGCCAACATTTGGAAGAAGAATGTTTTCAAGATGACTTGGATAATAGCGCATTGTGACAAACCCCAGATACAGCACTGGGACTTGATCAACAGCCGATACCGCACCGTGACGTCACAAACCAGTAGGTGGCAGTAGTGTTCTTTCACAAACATGGATGCCTCCAGTAAAGCACATTCAAATGAAAATTACTCTGAATTAAAACACTCATTATTTATTGAACAGCATGCAATAATTGCATATTTAAAGTTCTTTCAGAGCTTGGGCCCAGGTTACCAGCCCCTCTGCCACTGAAGAGCAGCTTTGGGGAGTCAAAGCAATCATTGCCAGGTGCTTCGGCGCTTCACAAAAAAAACACTCATATTGTGTTTGTCATCAATGTGAAAAGGGGGTGTGCGGGAAATGTTCGGGGGGAATCAATCCATTTCTGTAAATAAAATTGTAATTTCAAACCTGTGTAATAAAACTGATCTATTTTACTAATTTAATTTAGACCACAAATAATAATAGCATACAATACAGTCTTTAACAAAAATATATGTTAGACCTATTTTAAGGCCAAAATGAGTTTATATCGCATACTAGAACCGTTTCAGTTGATGACATCATCACTACTCATGCGTTCCATTGGGAAAATGTCACCCGTCAAATTGACGGCCAGTGGGAGTTCTAGTGTTAATGATATTTAGACCCTCAGTCTGTTTTTTTTTTTTTTAAGTCAGTAAAAGAGCAGCTAAAGAGTGCACAGTGTGTTTGTGAACACTCTTCTCTTACCTGGGAGTGTGGAGTTGATGCACATCCAAAGCTCACTCTGCAGAAACAAAAAGGATCATGTCAGCAGCTGTCATTATTAACCCTTTAGAATAGGGATGGACGCTATTGGGATTTTGGCCGATATCCGATATGCCGATATATTAAAACTCATATAGCCGATAACCGATATCGATACTGATGTTAAAGCTGGACAAAAATAAGTAGTCATTGAAAATAGCAGTTTTGTTATCCATTTCTGACACTTTGAAAAATTATATACTCAAATATATTTTCATATGCTGATATCAAATTGATTTTTAAAAACGCGGTATCGATCTATTTTACTTTCAAAATCTGGTGAAATTTCATCGTTCTGTTACAAACTCTCGTGATATTTTGCAAATTCTTGTAAAATTTTGTTAGTAAAATAGATCGATACTGCGTCAATATATCAACATATAAAAATATGGCAACATTTTGTGAATTTTCGGGGGATTTCGTAGCATAACGATAACATATAGAAATATTTCATTAGTAAAAGAGATTGATATGGTGTTTTTAAATGGCAATATATCAGCATATGAAGATAATGTGATATTTTAATGTATCAATATTTTTTCCCTCGTCTTTAGAAGTTTTTAAGTCTGTAAAAAAGAAGTTTTTGAGGAAGAAGAAGAAGTAGTATTTTTTTTTTTTTTTTTTAGACTTTAGAAACTCAGAAGCTGATCAAATATCAGGTTAAATATCGGTGGGGTGGCCGATGTCCGATATTCAGTTTTAAGGCCGATACCGATAGTGGGCCGATTATATCGTGCATCCCTACTTTAGAATGTGGTAACATCATCTCTGGGTGGGTTTCTTTTGTAGGGTCCGAGAAAATTCAACATATGACTTATTTTTGTTATTTTATCACAAAACTTCACAAGGATATGACCTTTCTGTCTACCTTTAGGCAGAAGATAAGAAGACGAGATGTGAGCTCAGTGTCACAGTGGTCTAGCATCTGTGTTTATTTGGTGGCTAATACAGAAACACAGATTATGATGAAGAGACAGGTAGAACTGAAAAAAATCCCTACCATGTTCCTGTAGCTATCAATAAATAAAATATTAAGGAAATGACAAGAAAAACTAATGGTAAAGGGCTGTTGGTGATGCTTTGCATGGACCACACCCTCACATTACACTAATGCTACGTTCACATCTAACGCGATTTTAGCACCAAAATCACTTCTGCTGCTTAATTGTGTTGCTTGTCCGCATTAAGGTCAGACGCGCCTCTAGAGCATCTTTGATGCTCCTGAAGTACGTCCAGTAAAGTGTGTCTAGATGCGTCTGATGCTTCTGCTGCTCCTGTGTTCAATGGCAGAGAGCGGCTTTGCTATATTTGCTGTGATATTGAGAAAGTCCACCTGAAAACATTGTCTGTGCAGTAAGTTCATCAAGATTACCCTCCTGCCTTCAAATATTTCGCCGTCGAAGCCGCTCAGACTCTTTTTAATAGCCTTTTTCAGGGATGTGGTAAAAACTGCAGGCTCCAGGTTTATAAAAGAAAACATATTCTGCCGCCAGGTTTCTACAAGTTAAGTTAATTTAGGCGTTAATTAACTTTTTCAGTGGAGTGATCATAGCACTCTGCATCAGCAGTGCTGTGTCCGTCTCCCTGCCAGATCCCAGATTAGCTTCTCTGATTGGTTGATGTGGCGCATCAGCAGAAAAATGTTTCCAACTCCAACAGCTGCTGCTTGTCACACACCTCAGATGCTCAGCAGCTCATGAGGCGCTGCTTCAGCTGCTTCGAAGCGTCAATATGCTCTGCTCCTGCTGCTCTAGATGCTGCAGGACCCTTTGATGCACCTTGATACACGTCAACCATTGACTTTGCATGCAAACCGGCTGCTTTTGCTATTTCAATGGCATTAAAAAATTTACTTTTTTAAGAACGTGATCCATGTTTGTAGAGAATCAATCCTTATTTGCTTCTGAGAAAAAAGTTGATCGTCATCAGCAAATTGGTAGCACACAGTGGTAAATATAACAAGACCAGTGAATTTTATCAAATAAAACACATGTCTGGCTGATTGAAAGGGTCTTTGTTCCCTACAATGGGAACTTTGTAGGGAATATTTTTATTTCTGAAATTTCTGGGGAACTGCAAATGACATTATTGAAGATAAGAACAGAAATATAGGCCTTGTGTATTCAAGTTTCATTTTCAGTGGAGGTAAACCAATAAGTTTTGAATTCTATCCCTTCTTGTAGACGACTTCACAATTATTTCTCCAGTCCAGTTTGTTGTCCAAGTGAACACCAAGCTATTTCTACTCTCCATCACCTCCACATCTTCTCCCATGATGTTAAAAGGATTCAACTTGGTCCCGTTTCTTCTGACACACCAATAATTTCTGCTTTTTTTCCCCCTTCCTTATAATTTCCTTTAGCCGAGGGTAACAGAGGTTGTCTGCAGCTGTTTGTTTTCAGAATGTTTGTTTCAGTGTTGCTGCTCCCTTGTCCTGCCTCTCGGAGGACAGACACACAGCAGCACTAAACGGGAGCTACTTCCATAGTTTTTCCGCTGTTTCAGTAAAAGTTAAAGTTGGTTAAAAAAAATTGAGATCATACCACCAAAAAAAATCAGTTCATTCAGAGCTTTTTCAGCTAAAAATAGCAACAAATTGCAAGTTTATACAAGTTAGTAATATAATGCAAGAAGCTTGAGAAAATATAGTTTAAATGTTCTTCTTTACTAGTTCAAAAAAGCTGGGGTTCTCAGTGGACAATGACTCCTAGTTACAGGTTAAAATGAACAAATATTTTCTTGTACAGACAGAATCACACAGAGCTTCGACATAAATTTTGTTTCTGGCTTCATTATATTAGTAAAGAGGTCCATAAATCTTTTTAAACAGAGCACAGAGAGAAGTAGGGAGAGCTGCAGATTAAAGCTGTAACAGATTTACTGGGACATGCAACATGCAATAAAATATATCTCCAATTTCACCAGAAAGTTTACAAGAAACAATTATGCAATGTTATATTTAAAATGCAGCATATCCATAGTTTTCTGGATGTATGGATGGAATGCAAATTGTACTTCTAGGGATGCATGATTTATACATTTTTGCATCGGAATCGGCGGTTATTTGTAATTTATTTATTTTTATATACGTTAATGTTTTTGGTCCCAGATTTCCGGGGAAATTCCCCATTTTGGACCACTTGTCCCCGGAAATATCCCAGATTTTACAGTTATATGAATGAGGGGGAAATGTTGCATGTAGGCTGTTATTATGGTAGAAGAGAAGGAGCAACCGCTCCTCTCCAGATCGCTGTGCAAAGCAAAGCCGACAGCTTTCTTGCTCCGCTTCGACTTCATCGGGGCTCTGGGAGAGCATGCGCAACTTTATTAGTATTATTATTAAATTCATAGGAGCAAAACATGAGGAAATGAAGGCTTAATTTAATGACGTAATTAAAACTCACCATCAGCATCCATCATGTTTCTCCTCAAGCATTTCTTTTCATTGTGCATCTTTGTAACGGGGATAATTAAGATGATACAAAATTCTTTGTTCTCTACCTCCAAACTCGGCATCTCTTCATCCAGGCCTGAGGTAAGAAGTTTATTTTTATGTCTTGAGATGCGCTCTTGGAAGTTGTGACTGGATTTAATTAAACTTTTAATGAAACTGATAGTATTAAATATATATTTTGATCAAGATAAAATTTGCTTCATGGTGTGTTGAAGTACCAATAGTTTAAATCCAATAATCTAAAGTAACGGTCTTAGTTTTTAGGTAATATAGAAGAATTATGCTCTAATTTTTTAGTTACTGATCTGTAGTTATGGGATTTTGATTGTGTTTGAGTGTAAGATTGATAGAAAAAGAAGATTAGAAGACTGACAGAATGAAGATTGAATGAGAGAGGTGGAAAAATCTACGAGTAAAACAGAGAGCAGGTAGAAGTCAGCTACCAATAGAAGATGGAGAGGGAGGAGGACAGAGAAGACTGAATGATATTCCGAAATAGGAGAGGAACGTTCCTGGATTTACACTTGATTTTAGTTGTTTAAACATTAATAAATATGTAAAAATGGATAAAAGCATCACTGTCCCCGTTTCCTATTTTAATTCTGATGATATGTTCTTTTTTTTTTTTATATACAAGCTGGAAACGTCCCCAGATTTGACCTCAGAAATCTGGTCATCTTGCCCAGAACACTCTATTCAAAGATTTCTGGTAAATAAAAAAATTGTTTTAGTAGCTTTTCCAGCAATGGGACATACATATGCTCTGAGAGTTTAAGAAAAACAGAGTTGTCTATAAAAGTTCTCGGCTGTCATAAAAGGAAAACGGACTCACCACCGACTCAGGACAGTAACTGGGTAACCTCTGGAGAAGATGCTTTAGGCGTGACTCACTCTTGATGGTTGCAAGCTGCGGCATAAAGCAAGAGAAAGGTCAGAAGCAAAGAAGATCTAAAAACATACCTAACCCTTGAATGTCAACATAGTGGCTATTCTGAATGAGAGAGAGCTATGTCTGAGAAAACTTCTCATGAGATTATCTTTGACAAAAATGGCAGTTTCCAACCTAAAAGTTCAACTTTAAATCTTAAAGGACAGAGAAGCGAAGAGAAAAAAATAAGATATGACTCCAGAGCTGAACCAGATTTTAACCCCTTAAGTAACTGCAGGTGATGGTTGGCTAGCATCAGTCATTTTGTTACACCTTTCCTTCCTTCTTATAGGAATTTTTATTGAACTTCACAGAGTACATGTGATTTGCTACATCTAATGTACGTATTGTTGGAATTGTTACTAAAATGTTTTCACTTCTCATTTCGTCTGAGGAGCAATAAAATATATATATATATATATATATATTTACTACTCAGAGCTGCAGGCTCATTCAACCAGTTTTATGGGGAAGGTGTGAGCATTTATTAGATTGGATTTCTGAAAGTAGCTTTTATTGATGACAATGAATGAAAAAAGTCTTTCCAAATTCTAACATTTGTCATAGAATTTTAAATGGGGAAGATGTGAACTGTTCACAAAGCACCTTGGACCTTAAAGCTACAGTATGTAATCATTTCAGGGATTTATTGACAGAAATATTATACAAATCTATCATCTAAGAACTGAAAGACTCAAGCTTTACGTTCACATTGCCTAAGCAACTTCCAGTCTGTCAATTCTCAGCCATTTGGTGTGAGACTCCCACATCTCAGTGTCTTCACACGCTCTCACTCAATATCCGATTTTTTTACGCTTAAAAATTGACGGACTATAAAAATCAACCCCATTCCGCTTATATGTTATAGAAATAACATGCTGATAAAAAGCCAGTCTGCGTTTTCAACCCAACCTCAGTGCTGACACATGAGGACATGCCAGGTTTATATCCAGTCCGTTTTTTTGTTATAATGATACCAGTATTGGGCGGGGCCCCGAACCAGCACTAAAATGGTGGTATCGACATTGACGAGGACAAATAAGGCACAGATACTATTTTTAGAGCCAAAAGTTTATTTAACTATTGTCACCCATTCCAGGAAGGCAATAAAAAGTTCTACTGGATTCACTTTGTATTAGTCTTTTTCCTGCTTCACAAAGGTAGGCAGCAGCTTGACAAAGCCATGATGGCAATAATTTTACATCCAAGTAGGATGCAGAGGATGCTATCGGTATGGTATCAGCCATACTGCACAGCCAGGTATTGGTATCGGGGCCAAAAAATGGCACAAAACTAGTTTTTGCACCAGCACACCTCTTCACTGTGCTGAGAGCAGCGGAGATGAAGGACCTGAGCCAGAAATTGAAAATAGACGGGGATTTCTGAGCAGTTACTTAGAGGTATTATATTTGAATTTTATATTATCTTATCTGGACTAACATCATTCACTTTGAAAATTAATGAAGATTTGAAGCAAAGCACTTGAGTAAATATAAATCAAATTTACAGCAGCTGGCTTAAGTGATCAATGTGGACACTGTGTGCAGGATCACATCCAACTGACCTCAAATGTTTCTTTTCTCTTCATTTAGTGCTTTTTTTTGGTAAGCTTTAATTCTTGTTTGCTGTAGCTTATCCACCTGATTTAGTCCCAGTTTTAGTCCATGTTTTGCTCACAAGTGAAAAATTTTTACTAATTCTAGTATCTAATAATCTCCTGTTGGAGTTTAGGACTAATTAAATCAACATAATCACGATCTTCTCATTTTATTATTACTTAACTTATTCAATTATTCTTATCTTAGTCCACTGAATATATTTAAAAACTTAACTTCCATCACATCTACCAAAATGAAACATCCAGTGAAGTGCTGTCTTGTGTCATTGAGTTTTTATAGACTCTACATCCTCCTAGAAGGTCTGAATTATTTAGCTGTTGTGTCAATTTGAAAAAAAAAAAAAAACTAATAAGATAATGATTTTTAATCCTTAGCCTTTTACCAAATATTCATACACAGTGTAGTTTGCATGGGATTCGATTGCACTGGTTCCTGTAATAGAACCAGTAATTCAGTAATAAATATTAGTTCCCCATTGTTTATTTTACTTAAACTGCATAGTTCATTTTTGAAGCTTTAGTTAGAGTGGCTTAGGTTATCCAGCTCTATCTCTATAGTTATGCTGCTATAGGCTTAGACTGCTGGAGGGCATAGGGACCCCTATTTCAATTCTACTTCATTCTATCTCTATTCTCCCACCCTGCAGAATTTGTTAATTCAATCTCTTACTATATGTTTTCCTCTCCACTGTTACTACATACATGCTTGGCAAGAGCGATTGAATCAATCTGACTGGATGATCTGGTGATCTGTAAAGTGCCTTGGGATGTTGTAAATTGGTAGCCTTGTGAGACCATCCTGATCTCGCGAGCTTTCAAGGTTTCACTCGCAGATCAGTCTGGAGACTCTCCGTTGAAGAAAATTTGGAGCAGTTCACCAAACGAACGTCCAATCAGCGTTGGCTTTGAGGCGGGTTGAGGTGTGACGCAACGAGAAGCGTGACAGTTCAGTCTAAAGAACATGGCGGCTTCAGCCGATGAAACTAGCGTTAGCGTGGCTATCGAGCAAGTTTTATCGGAATTACAGAGTATTTCTTCACTGAAAGAAGAGCAAAACACTGCTCTGGAGGCTTTTCTCAGAGGAAAAGATGTTTTTGCTCTTCTCCCGACTGGTTTGGGCAAGAGTTTGATCTATCAATTGGCTCCTCTTCGTCGTGGCTCTGTTACCTCATATGCTTCGTTGATCTGATTGGTTTATTTGGCCCGTCTATCACCAACATAGGCCAATCAGCTAACCAGTATTTTCGCCCCTTCCCAAAATTACTTCAACGGAAGGTATCAGATGGATATGCGGAGCAAATCCATCTGGCGGAGTCAGGTTAGTGAATTGGTGCTATAGGAATAAATTGAATTGAAAGTTCATTTTCTTAATTCTGTCACATATTCTGTACATTTTTCTAAGAACATATAAGCCCATACAGGATGAGTGATTTGTGCAAGCCAATGATACTTTAGTAAATCTGTCTGTAAGATTTGATTGAATTGACTTTGTAATGCGCCTTGAGGTGATGTGTTTTAAATTGGCACAATGCAAACATTTGATTTGATCATACCTGCTCACAAGCTTCTTTGCAGGGCGATGCCTCAGCAGCATATTGGCAACAGGAGGAATCTGTAGACAAAGAAATGAAGAGTTAGCAAAAAAATCCTCACCTACATTAGCAGCCGTTCAAAATGGCTCTTCCCAGTCAAAAGCAAGCCGAATGGCAGCCGCCTTCCCTGCAGCTCCCAGCTACGGTAAATCCCCTCCAACTTCCAGCCACTGGCCTTCTCCTGGGCATGCATATTTTGTTACTCTGACTCCACCCCTTCACTGAATTACAGGGTCTGACCAGGAGATAACGCTTCTCTTTAGATCTTAATGTCCACAAATCATGAAAGAAAGAATATTTTAGTACAAATATTGATGTTTAAAATGAACTGTAGGGGACCAGCCAAGGGCCCATCAAGGAAAGTGGGGGAATTTTGAATGGCTGCTACTGTAAGCAGTGGTGTTAGTCAAGACGCATCACCTCTGAAAAGTTAAAAATGTAAAGGAAAAAAGGTCCAGCTCATGTTCTCCTTTTACTAAGTAGGTTTAGATATTTTGTTAATTCTTTCAAATAATTTCAAATGACAAATCACAAACTTTTATGAACGATTCCTTTCTCCACGGATTACCCGGAAACAGGTACTAAGCAGTCTGATGAGTTTCTTTAGCCGAGAACAAAGGGCCCAAAACTGACCTGGGTTGGTTTTTTACAATCTGGGGAAACGCATAGAGCCGTACGTTACAATTGATCAGCTTTAATTGCCAGCAACTGCATTAACAGAGGAGTTTTTTGGCAGGTAATGGCCCATAAAATTGCTGTAAGTGTTCACAGCCATTATTAAGAATCTGTCTAAATTGCCAGGAAGTAAGGTGAGTCTGGCTAATCATAATGCATTCAGTTTGCGTTTTGAATGTCTGAATTACTGACCTCGAGCAGGACATTTTCCACAGCTTAATTAATCAGTAGGGTTGTCACGATACTAAATTTTTCAACTCGATACCGATACTAAGGAAAATACTCGATACTCGATACCATTTTCGATACCACAAGGATAAAAACAAAGACTCCAAAATTCTACAGAAATATTTTCATTAATAAACAAAATACAACAAATAAATACAATAAAGGTTTTTTGCTGTGCACAATATTAAGCAAGCTTGATAAAAAAAAAACTTATAGAATTAAAATTAAGTGTTCCTACCTTGGCTATGCTTTGCACACAGAACAATGACAGTAGCCAAACCGGTTAAGAAACAAAAATAATTCTCAGCGGCTGCACCTCTTACAAAAAAAAAAGTCTGAAACTGAAAAGTTCCCAGAATTATTCAATTACACAGTGTTCTTAAAGTGCATTTTCCTCTATTCTGCACTTTAGATGAAGGACTGCTTAGGTGCCACTGGTGGTGGCACTGCATTGATACTTTTAGAAGCGAGTATTGTATCCGGATACAACATTTCAGTATCGATACTTTTTTGAGAATCGATACTTTTGACAACCCTATTAATCAGTACCGTATTTTTCAGAATGCTCCTATGTAAATTCCTTAAGTCAGGCATACTCTCTACGATTTTTTTTGCCCTTTTCTGGCAAGGATGCGAGGATGTGACGTTGAGCCTCTTCATGCGTCCTGCAACGTGTATTGTACAGGGGCTAATGAGGGGGGATTAGCCTCTTACCACGACCTCCCCGATCAGGAATCGTAAGGTCGGGAGAAAATCAAACAGGTTTGAAATTCAGTCGGCTGTCATAAGGTGGTCGTAGCAAATAAGTCAATGCAGAAACAAGGACTCTTCTTCTTCTCAGAGGAAAACACAGAAGCATGGCGGGGATGCGAGTGAAATTGAGTTCTTTCTTTAAAATTGACAGCCTGTAGTAGCCAGGGTTGTTCAGCCATGGCTTTGTCCAAATAAGGCGTCACCTTTCCTTTTTAGGCCTTTCAGCTAGGGCTGCAACTAACGATTATTTTGAAAATCGATGAATCGGCCGATTATTTTTTCGATTAATCGATGAATCGGACACAAAATATTTTTTTTATATTAACCTCTTCATTCCAAAATAAACATTTTAGACAGAACAAACAAGCACGCAAGTACAGGTTTCTCATTAACTGTACTGGTGCAATATGAAAAATAAATGTTTGTGTTAAAACTACGCAAACTTACATGAGAAATGTAGCTGTACATCCACAAAATATAGGGTATTTTGTTTCATAAAGCGCAAAGAGACAGGCATTTTTGTTTTTAAAAGCCCCTAAGGGATTCAAACAATAGGTCCCCCCATTTCAACAAATTAGGTTTTTATAGACTAGAAGAGTTCTGCCTTTTAAGACAGGAAAGTATAGCAGTTAAAGTTGCTACTTGAGAAAATACTGAACCATAGAGATAAAAATAGCCCTGTGATTCAAATTATAAATTGTATTTGGAATAAAAATGAGAGAACTAGGGGTGCTAAAAAACACATCCTCCAAAGACAGATATTTACATGGGAATGTGGCAGATAATTAATTGACATATTACTGATCTTGCTGGATTTTATTCTGCTTTACTTCCATAAATTGCAGGATCTTCTTTACTTTATCTTTGCCAGAAGATTTAAACTTTAAAAGCCTTGCCCTCATAATTTGCAAATTAATTTATTTATAAAGAAAATATAAACGCTGCTTAAGCTAATTCAAATGATATTAAAAGTAAAATAAGTAGCCAACCTTATCACTGTCTGTAACCTACTAACACGGTAAGGAAAGCATCAGATGAGCTACCTGAGAAACTAACGTTACGTTTCCCCACTTTAAAACGAAACAAACATGGTCGCTCATCCTGCTGATGAGCTCTCTTCACTGACATCTAAGGCTCCAGCGTGTTTTCTTTTTAGGTGCTGCATCATAACAGTGGTGCTTCCGTGCCATGTTCATTTGTTTTTACAAAAGTTGCATGTTACGACTTTTTTCACTTTACAAAGCGCAGGCTATTTTAATTATTGTGATCAATTTGCGCCGTCAATCCCGGGGCATGCGCGCTTCATTTGCAGTCTGGACGCTGAGGGTAAACTCCTCACTAAAATCCTGCGGCTCTGACTGCCCCGCTGAGAGGGAGAGAGAGAAAGGGGTTGGGATGGGGGAGGCGCCCCACGGCAGCAGCTGCCGCTGGAGGAGAAGAGTAGGAACGATACATGCTTTCACGTAAGAGTCTCCAAAAGCCGCCAGTGACACCGTAAAAAGTCGCCAGATTTGTCGCTAGTAGCTTTTTAAAGAAATAGTTGCTGGAGGGGTCTGAAAAGTCGCTGAGTTGTCAACACTGCAACTGCGGCGCTGACTCGCTCTGCCGTATTTTTTTTTCTTCCCCGGGATGACGGCGGCGGCGGATGACGCATTAATCGCGCGACACAACTAATCGATGATTAAATTCGTTGCCAACGCTTTTAAAAGTCGATTTTTATCGATTTTATCGATTCGTTGTTGCAGCCCTACTTTCAGCACAAAATTGCACAAATTGCAAAGGCAGTCTGGCGTGGTTTTTAGACGTAAAGTGTGACCTTTTAAACCCTGCCGTTTCCTCGTACGGTGTGTGCTCAAGCAATGATTGCAAATACTGCAGCGTATGCCCGGCTCAACAGCATCCACATCAAAATGTTGTCCCTACACAAAGGTGCGGTGCATTCGCTCACCGAAAATGGGCTTTGGCTTGGCTGCTAATTTCAGCTGGTTCCATGGTGCATGTTTGCACAACACTTTTAGTATTTTTCTGTGATATCCGATAAAAGTCGGAACTAGTAACACAACTGAAATGAGTACTTCACTATCCAAGTCTCATCTATTGCCTGAAACCTCAAAGACCTGAAACCAAATAACCCCAGCTCTATCAGCTTAAAATACTGTTAGAAAATTCCACCAAGGAAGTCTGCAGGGTTTTTAAAATTATTTTAATTCTTTTGATTTGTTCTGTTTGTCTCTTAGGGGGAGTGTTAGCCTAGTGGATAAGGCAGTGCGCTTTTGCTCTGTGAAGGTTGAAAGTATCCGGTTGGATCCCCATAGCCTGGACCCTGAGACTCTGGGAAAGACCCTTAACCCCCCACTGCTCCCTGGGCGCCGCACAATGGCAGCCCACTGCTCCCCAAAGGGATGGGTTATATGCAGAGAGTCAATTTCCCCACTCTGGGACAATAAAGGGATTTACACACATATTCTGTATTGACAGAGGTGTCAAAAGTATTAATGTTTATTACCACAGTAGAAGTATAAATCCTGCTGTTTAAAATATATTTCATTTCATTGTTAGTTAATAACCAAAAGCAACTGTGTCAAATGTAAGTTTGCATCATCTTGAACTATTTATTCTGGTGCAGTACCGAGTCCACCCAGAGAGAAATTAATTAATTATTTTGATGTTTTTTATTATTTTTTTTTAAATATCAACAACCCATAACCAAAATGAGCTCAAATGAAACAAAACAGTCTATTTTTAAAATGTAAGCAGTAGAAAGTGAAAATCAATTACTCCTTTAAAGTATAGATACTCATACTTTCTACTTAAGTAAAGTATCAAAGTGTTTGTACTTAGTTACTTGAAACCTCTGGGTATAGAACATCAATGGATACATTTGAATGTTTGACATTGGGGAAAAGCACTAAACAAGGTTTGAGAGCTTCCTGTATACCTGTCCTTATATGGAGAACTGCCCTGCAGCAGCAACAATCTGTTCACTGCTGGGAGCTATTATGAGACTGAAAAGAGAACAGTGTCTATGGAGGACCAACTGCCATATTTAAAAATAAATACAGAAATAAATAAAGGCTCAATAAATATATAAGCATACAATTAATTGCCAACAAAAATACAATAAACGAATAAATGTAAGTAGAAATTAAATTATACAGTGAGACATAAATGTATATAACTCTTTTAATTAGCTTCTTTATTTATTTGCCTTTGTAATATTTACCTTATTTATCTTTTTGTCCTTTATAATCTTCAATTTTACTTTTTAATTACTTATATTTTTAAGTATTTATTTATGTGCATGTTATAATATTTTTGTCTGTTTCATTCTTCCTTTGTATTTTTTTACCCTAGTTATTTCTTC